AGGCAACAGCCTTCCCGGATGGAGAAGCAGCTCAAGGGCCACCCGGAGACCCTGAGAACATTCTTTCAGGAGTAATCCCCGCTCTCCTGAGGGCTTACACAGCCCCGCGGTGTGGGGATTTTCACAGCCCCTCGCGTGACATTTGTTTTTTCACACTGTATATCTAGGAGTTTTACCAGCTTCTCCTCTTTTCTTTTCCAACATCATTACACGCCTGAGAATCAAGGTCCTTCTTGCTTGCCGTCTCTTATTCTCCCATCTTCGGGGACGTCCCTCTGCTATCAATAGCTGTGTATCTGAAGGGCCCAGAGACAATATAAAACTCTTCTCGAAGGTCTGAAATTGCTTTACATATAGGATTTCTTTTTTTGGAGGGGGAAGGATTTATATTTATGTTCTTGTCTCTAAAGACTTTGCAGGGAGAAAGTAGGCAAGGACATGGACCAGATTAACTCAGAAGGGTTGGTAATTAAATTTGTTAGTGCCATAGCCTGCATTTATTCCCCCCACCCCGCCTTTATTTCAACACCTTGATTTACAAACTTGTTCATAATACAATTGCTGTAAGCACTCAATATTCCAACACCAATCCCATCACCAGTGCTACTTTCCCTCCACTCTTGTCCTCATTTTTCATCCATCCCCTAAGTCTGCCCCCTTGCGGGAACAAACCAATTTATTTTTTTTATTAAAAATTTTTTTTTTATTTAAAAAAATTTTTACAGTCTCCTGCCCCCGCTCCTGGCTGTCCTTGCTGGGGCCCCTTGGAGGGGACCGGGTTGAGCTTTCCTCCCCACCCCGACCAGGGCTCCAGCAGCCAAAGACCTCCAGGACCAGCCACCACCATGCTGAGACCACTCTCCGCACACATGGAGGTACCAGCAGAGGAACAAAGGCACGCGGGTCCCGGGGCTGAGATCTCCAAGCCTACTCAGATTTGGGCCGAACATCTTCCACCCAGATCCTCCAAATTCCAGTAGGCGGGGTCACACCCACCAACTGGCCCCCTGGCGCAGTGTAATCCCATCACCGGCCAAGACTCAGAGACTATAAAAACCAGCTCCCGGAACCGCGTGGCCATTATTAGACATCTTATTATCTCATTCCTACTTTGGACAAACTGGCAGGCTACTGAATGTAGCCTGCCCACATGGCCGAGTCTGGCAAACTCCCTGTGGCGTACCCAATATGCCAAATACCAGTAACAATGATGGGTCTCATTCTCCTAAAGAGCCTTGAATATAATCTCAGGGCTAGGATGAAGGAGACGTTACTGGGGCCTGCTCGAGGCAATCGACGAATAACAGGATGATTTGTGATTTGTGAAAAAAAATTTTAATAGTGAGACATCATGAGGTACAGTTGCAGACTTACACATTTTTGTGCTTGGGTTTCAATTATACAATGATCAAATACCCATCCCTCCGCCAGTGCCCATTTCCCACCACCGCGGATCCCAGTATCCCTCCCAACCCTCATCCCCACATCCCACCCTGACTCTGTGGCAGGGCATTCCCCTCTGTTCTCTCTCTCCTATTGGGTGTCGTGGTTTGCAAAAGAAACATTGAGTGGCAATCATGTTTGGTCTATAGTCTACTTTCCGCATGCTTCTTCCATCCTGGGAGGATCCTCCCAACACCTTCATTTGGTGTTCCCTTCTCTATCTGAGCTCCCTTTTCCCCTAGTATGTGTCGTTGGCCTCCAAGTCATGGAGTAAAATTCCTGGTACTAATCTCGCCATTCTTGGGTGTTAGTTTCCTATTTTGTTACTTTATATTCCCCAGATGAATGCAATCTTTCTATGTCTATCCCTTTCTTTCTGAGTCATTTCGTTTAACAAGATACTTTCCATGTAGTAGCACTTGTATGTAAATTTCGTGACTTGGTCTTTTCTAACTAGCTACATAGTACTCCATTGTGTAAATGTACCAAAGTTTCTTTAACCAGTCATCTGTTCTCCGGCACTCAGGTTTTTTCCAGATTCTGTCTATTGTAAAGAGTGCTGCAATAAACAGACAATTGCAGATGTCACTTCGACTATACTTTTTTGCCTCTCTGGGATATATTCCCAGGAGTGGTACTGCTGAGTCAAATGGGAGCTCAATTTCTAATTTTTTGAGAATCATCCATACTGTTTTCCAAAGGGCTGAACCAGTCAGCATTCCCACCAACAGTGAAGGAGTGTCCCTTTCTCACCACATCTGCACCAGCACCAGTTGCTTTTGTTCTTGTGGATATGGGCCAGTCTCTGTGGTGTGAAGTGATATCTCACTGTGGTTTTGATCTGCATCTCCCTGATGATTAATGATGTAGAGCATTTTCTCATGTGCCTTTTAGCCATTCAGATTTCTTCTTCTTGAAAGTTTCTATTCATTTTGTCTCCCCATTTTTTGATGGGGTTGGATGTTTTCTTCTTGTGGAGTTCAACCAGTACTTTGTATATCCTTGATATCAACCCCTTGTTGGATGGGTATTTGGCGAATATTCTTTCCCATTCTGTAGACTGTCTTTGTATTTTGGTCACTGTTTCTTTTGAGGTGCAGAAGCTTCTTAGTTTAAGATAGTCCCATTTGTCTATCTCTGTTTTCACTTGCTTGGCCAGCGGTGTGACATCTTTGAAGACACCATTAGCTTCTATGTTTTGCCAACTTTTTCCTCAATGTACCTTATAGACTCCAAACCAATTTATTTTATATTGCATGTTACAACTAAAAAGCTAATGAAATTTAAAATAAAAAAAAACTTCAGTAAAAGAAGATTTGTGGAAATTGTTATATCTCATTAAGTCACTAAGTCCTTGTCTGAGGACTCACTAAGCTGTTTGTTGCTAGTTGAGCCTTCCGTGTTGTTGTTTTTGTTTATTGGGCTTCGCGGGCTTCTATGTAACTTTCCCATCTAATTTGGTGTGCTCCTGCTGGGATGTTGGTATTGTGGAATTTGGAGGTGTCGGGTGACTACAAATGCAGCCTCATGCTCCAGAAACTCCAGGATAACTAGGCAGTGAGTTTATATGGTGGAGTTTGCGGGATGTGGGCATGACTGCTGGGGCTTCTGGAAGTAGGAGGGGGGCTGCCCAGTTCCACTTTGAGAAGACCTCAGAGTTTTCAGCCTGAAGATGGGTGTACCTGGAACTTTTGGTAGTTTGGCAACTCTACAGAGTAGTTGTGAAGCGGTGAAGTTGGGCCATTGGCATGGAGGCAGCCATGGGCATGCGTGAAGCTGCTGAGGGTTATGCAGGGTGGAACTCAGTCCACCCTCACGCCCCCCATACCCAGGGTGCCCCAGAGTTCTCAGATGGGAGACTGGGACAGCCTGCATTTCTTGAATTACAATTTTTCTGCTATTCCCAAATAAATCCCGTTGGATTGTTAAAAATTACTGGATTTAATTAATGCAAAATTGCAAGATATAATTTTAGATCAACAAAAGCTAACATCTGTTGCTTAATTATTCTGTTCTTAATTGCATTCTTAATGTTAAACATAGCCCTGTGTGTTTAAAAATAAGAGTATGTGTTGAAAAACACCTAGAAAAAAATCAGCTAGTTTGCAGATCCAATGAAGATACTTATTAAAGCCTTCCTAATTTTCCCATATTGTTGAAATTTTTTTCAAGTAAGCAATTTTGGTTTCATTTTTATTCAGGAAAAAAAAGGCATTTTTTTTAATTAAGCATTTTCTTTTGCACTGATCGCCAAACAGCAACAGCTAATTAAGCCACGGACCATGTGTTCTGAGTGACCATGTAAGTCAACTGGTAGCCCAGCAACCCAAAGGCAGTGGACACTGTGTTCTCCAAGGCTGGCCTGAGATACGCCTTTGGCTGGAGCTTCCGTAGGATTAGCCTGAGTCACTGGCTGGCCTGGAGACAGACTGTGAGTGGGGAACTGGCTAGAGAATTTTCTCTTCCTTTCTAGGGTCCCCGAGATTGCAATGCACTTGTCATCTTTCCTCCCTACTCCATCCACACAACAATATTGTTTTTACTTTGATTTTATTTTTATTGATATTATGTGACTTTCAATGTTGTTAATAATGGATCATCGAGGTCAAACCAATAGAACAGCGGGCAAGGAATTAGCCTTGCATCCTGCTGAGCTGGGTTCCATCCACCTCACCCCATAAGGTCCTCTGAGTCCGCTAGGAGTCATCCCTGAGTACAGAGCCAGGAGGAAAGCCTGAGCATCACTGGGTGTACCCCCCAAATAAACAAACAAACAATAATAGTCTCTAATGAACGTAACTCCAACACCACACCCGTCACCAGGGTGCCCACCTCCCTCCCCCAAGGACTCTAACACCCCCCTTTAACCCCCACGCCCCAACAATTGCTTGCGTAGTTCAGTTCTCCTCTTCTGCTGCCCTCGAAACATTGCTGCTATTCTGCTGCCCAGACATGACTTATATCAAGCCTTTGAAATGCCTATTGAGGCGTGGCAACAACACAGAAAAGTGGGAGGCAACATGACGCTGGTCCTCTTCTCTTGCTCCTGAACTCTTCCAACCAAACTCATGTTAATAGAAAATCAAAGAAACGCCTACCCTGTCTGTCCCTCTCGGGAGCTCGGTCATTTGCACAACCACCTCTCCCAGGAAACGTTGTCCCACCGCACCACCCCCGCCTTAGACCAGGGGTGCAAAGAGGGGTATGTCTCCAAAGCAAGCATAATCCCAAGGTGAAGTCGGCAAGGACCCAAGGGAGGGGAAGGCAGTGCAGATGGCCGTCATGAAGGGAATTCACCGGGGGCAGGGGGAGGCAGGGACCAGATGATTATGTGAGACGTGATGCTGATGGCATGCACGGGTGCCCAGTGGAGGGAAGACAGGAAAGGTGCCAGTGAGAGACTCAATGTAGTTCTGAAATTTTCTTTTTTAAAATCTTTTCTTTTTTTGGGTCATACCCAGCTATGCACAGGGGTTACTCCTGCACTCAGGAATTACTCCTGGCAATGCTTGAGGGACCATATGGGATGCCGGGGATCGAACCCTGGTCGGCTGTGTGCAAGGCAAATGCCCTACCCGCTGTACTATCACTCCGGTCCCTGTTCTGAAATTTTCTTTAAAAATTTTGTTGTAGTAGAGTTTATCCCCAATTCAATCAGCCTAATCAATGGCTGAATAATCAGCAATACTCCTACATTAAAATTTTTAAAAAATTATTGTATACATAAGCTTGGGGGGTCTCCGTGCGCTAAATCATTTCCAAAAAAAGGAATGGAAGCTGGCTTCGTTCAAATGAAGCTTTGAGAACAGGATGAGACGACGGTCTGAATGCTGAGACCCTACGTGGCATCTCATTAAAGCTCTTTGTGGGACACAGTGCTCTCGGAGGAAGCGGCGCGTCTCTCGGTCCAGGGGTAGAAGGATGGCTGTGCAAGGCTGGGCTGGGCGGGGCCCTCCCGGGAACACACCTGAGACTCTAGTTACATTTGCGTTGCTACGGTCAGAGCCAGGAGGAGGGGGAGGCTCAGGACAGCAGAACGCTGTGTGTAGAGAGGTAGGATGTGTGTCTGAGCAGACGCTGCCGCCCTGCAAAAGGGAAAAGAGGAGCTGTCAGTGGCCTTGGAGGGAGCTTATGTTTACAGTTGTTCAGTATTTTCGCAAATGCCCATCTGAAACGTTTTTAAATAGTCACTGTCACTGTCCTCCCGTTGTTCATCGATTTGCTCGAGCGGGCCCAGTAACATCTCCATTTTGAGACTTCTTGTTACTGTGTTTGGCATGTTGAATACGTCACAGGTAGCTTTCCAGGCTCTCCAAGAGGGACGGAGGAATCAAACTCGGGTCTGCCCCATCGGCTGCATGCAAGGCAAGTGCCCTACCCTCTGTGCTATTACTCCAGCCAAAAGATAAAGTGAAAAACAAATGCGCCCTTATTTCCCAAGTTCCAAAATGCTCTTGACAGACTGAGTTGCTCTCCTGAGCATCTCTGCCCTTCCCCTCTGCCTGCCTGCCTGCCTGTCTGTCTGTCTGTCTGTCTGTCTCTCTCTCTCTCTCTCTCTCTCACACACACACACACACACACACACACATTGCCACTGCCACTGTCCTCCCATTGTACATCGATTTACTCAAGCGAGCCAAGTAACATTGTAAGACTTATTACTATGTTTGGCATATTGAATACATCACGGGGAGCTTGCCAGGCTTTGCTGTGCGGGCAAGATACTCTCAGTAGCTTGCTGAGCTCTCCGAGAGGGGCAGAGAAATCGAACCGGGGTCGTCCAGGTCAGCCGTGTGCAAGGCAAATGCCCTACCCGCTGTGCTATAGCTCCAACTCCCCCCCCACACACATACACATACACACACTTATCTAAACATAAATGGAATTTGCAACTTCTTTTGCCCTGAACATGTCCACTCTCCTGGACATGATTTCAGAGTATCAGTATATATCATTCCTCCCCATAGATAATATCTTATGGTATAAAATTTCTGAAAAGTGGGGCTGGAACAATGGTAAAGCAGGTACGGTGTTTGCCTTGCATCCAGCTGACCCGGGTTCGATCCCCAGCTCCACTATGCTCCCCCAAACCATCCTGGAAGAATTCTAAGTGCAGGGCCAGGAGTGAGCCCTGAGCACTACCAGGTGTGGCCCCCAAACCAAAATCAAAACAAATGAAAGTTCTGAAAAGTGACCCAAGTTCCCAACGTGGAAATGGATGAGAATGGACTCAATATATGAAGGGTTCAACCGAGGATTAGCAAACTGTCCTGGCAAGAAAATAGAGAGAAAAAGGACAGAGAGAGTAAGAGAGTATGTGCCTGCCACAAGGGGGATGGGGGGAGGATACTGGGAACATTTGTGGTGGAGAACGGGCACTGGTGGAGGGATGGGCACGTGAACATTGTTTGACTGAAACGCAATCATGAAAGATTGTCAATCTGTAACTGTACCTTGTGGTGATTCGTTAAAGTAATAAAAAAAAAAAATTAAAAAGAAAATGGAGAGAAAAACTGGCCAAGGGATTCTGATCACAGCAAATAGAGTCTGACCACACAGACTTTTAAAAAAAATTAAATCATTTCAAACCAATTAGAAGAAAGTTTTAAGAATCATGAACCAATATCACGTTGACGTGGTCATTAGCTCCCTTTGGTTCTGGACCCCACTGGAAGCTGTCAGCCTGTTAGCTGCAGACTTGGACTCTGGGTCCACCTGCTGGACATCATCTGCAATTGCATTTTTGATTCCCTCTGGTCCTGAATTTCACTTACAAATTTTTTTTGGTTTTGTTTCTGTTTTTGTTTTGGGACCACACCCAGTGATGCTCAGGGGTTCCTCCTGGCTCTGCACTCAGGAATTACTCCTCGCAGTGCTCAGGGGACCATCTGGGATGCTGGGAATTGAACCCAGTTTAGCCGCGTACAAGGCAAGCGCCTTGCCTGATGTCCTACCCTTTCAATCCCCTACACTGGTTTTAAAAAATAATAACTGATGAATACAAAGACATCTTAGTTACTTTATTTATTTGTGGGGGGGCTTGGAGACCACACCCACTGGCTCCTAGGAGCTGTTACTGGGTCTGTGCTCAGAAGAACCCTGGGGATGCCCCAGAAAACCATATGTGGTTCTGGAGGCCACACTGGGGTTGGGTGCAACCAAGGCCTTTGTCCCTGTGCTGTCTCTCTGGCATCGTTTATTTTTACTTCTAAGAGAATAATACAGAAGTAAACAGAAGCAATGAGAGTTCTCACTCCCCTCCCTAGAGGTAAACCTCGTTAGCAATTTGGAGTTTACCTGATCAGAAGTACTTGTCATTATCTACACTATCACACACAAAAGGAAGGACCGCTTTGTGGTTCATTCTTCACCCCTTTAACTCACGATCCATGCCCTGATTTGCCACATACGAATGTGTTTCACCCAAGACAGCTCTCCTGCACAGAAAAACACTGTTTGGTTTTAAGAAATAATGTTAGGGATTCCATCTAAAGCTCACGAGCCTGGTTGGTTCCAGACACTCCTGGTTACTTGCCGAATTGCCCTGTTCTTTTTTTTTCTTTTTGGGTCACACCTGGCGATGCACAGGGGTTACTCCTGGCTCTGCACTCAGGAATCACCCCTGGCGGTGCTCAGGGGACCACATGGGATGCTGGGTATCGAACCTGGGTCAGCCGCGTGCAAGGCAAAAACGCCCTACCCGCTGTGCTATCACTCCAGCTCCGTCCTGTTCTATTTTGAAACTTAGTCAACTTGGATAACAACCCTGAATCTTTGCACTTACTCAAATTCCCTTTGCGAAATAATTTCCAGGTAAAATGGAAGTGGAAGCTATAGAATGGAACGTTTTTCCCCAGGAGCCCTGAGGCAAATAAATAACTCAAGGACTCCGAAGGGCTGAGCCTGAGTCTGGAGAAGGCCCAAGCCAGAGCCAACAGCAAGAGCCCACGGGTGGGTGGACAGCAACTGCCGGTGCTCGAGTCCGTGGATGTTGCTCACTTAGGTTCTTCCCTATCTGTCTCGGGCTCCAAAATCCTCCCTCCCTGCAGTCCCAGCCCCTAATACAGCCAAGTCCAAACCCTCCTCAGACCCACCTACTGCTTGCTCCCGTGTCTGTGTCCCCGACTGCACTTCCTCTGCTATCTCCAAAGAAACTCATTTCTCCCCACGACTTTCCCCTTACCTCATTTTATTCCTGCTAGTTATTTATTTACTTACTTATTTACCTACTTTTGGCTTTTTGGGTCACACCTGGCGATGCTCGGGGGTTACTTCTGGCTCTGTACCCAGGAATAACTCCTGGCGGTGCTCGGGGGTGCCAGATGGGATGCCAGGGACCAAACCCAGGTTGGTCGCATGCCAGGCAAATGCTCTATCCGCTGTAGTATCACTCTGCACCCCCCCCCCTTTAAAAAAAGAAAGATGCTGACATCTTGAAGATTTTTTAAGTAAAATACTTTTTTTTTCTTTTTGGGTCACACCCAGCAATGCACAGGGGTTATTCCTGGATCATGCACTCAGGAATTACTCCTGGTGGTGCTCAAGGGACCACATGGGACGCTGGGAATCAAACCTGGGTCAGCCACATGGGAGGTTGTGCTATCGCTCTAGCCCCAACCTTGAAGATTTTTAAACTCAAGTGATTTTGTTATTTTAAACTTAATTTGTATATTTTCTTCCAAAAAAGACTGGATGTCACCTAAAATGAGCAACCCCTCGGGCCAGACTGAGGGTCAGATGGCTTAGTGGCCCAAGCACCTGCCTTCAGACACAAGGTCGAGAGTTCATCCCTGGTGCAGTGGCATGAGCTGGTCTCGGCAGCACTGGGCTGGTGCCTGGTAGTTCTGAGATCCCTGGAACCACCCACAATTTCCAGCCCCACCATAGCCAGGAGTGTGTGAGCACTAAAGTGTCTGGCCGAGCTTGGAGTAATAGTACAGCGGGTCGAGCACTTGCCTTGCACAGGTTTGACCTGGGTTCGATCCCTGACATTCCATAGAGTCCCCTGAGCTCTCCCAGGAGTGATCCCTGAGCACAGAGCCAAGAGTAAGTCCTGAGCACCACTCAGTGTGACCCCCCTCAAAAAAGGAGTCTGACGCCTGGCAAGCACCACAACTAAAACGTTCAACACTCCAATCAGTCACTGTCCAGCCCCGGCATCAGAGCGACTACAGAAACAGAGAGAAAGGAAGAAGGAATTGGAAAAATTAGCAAAACCCCCAAATTAGGAAAACCTCAAATACTTGATGCTGGCAAATCTAATCAGTGAATACAGTCTAATTCGCTTAAATGTTCTGACACCAGCTATAAACTTAGTAATATGCTCTATGACTTTACACTGAAAATCTTGAAAATAGGGTTTCTTAATAGCTACTGATATGTTGGAACTACAGGATTATTCAAGTTCTTTTTCCATTTTTCTATTAAAAACCTCTCTATCAATAAGAAGCCACCCACCTACCTCTGTTTCAGTAATAAACTCTTTTAATAGCTCGACATATATAATTTATGTATAAACTGTTCTTACACACTGAATCTTCTAAAATGTTACAAATCAATCAAGTGTGAAATATAAAAATACATATTTTTCCGTTCCTAAAATTATACAAAGCTCTTCATGAGTTGGCTCTGTATCAGTAGCTGCTGATTCGATTCTAACTCCTAGCAGGTCACCCCATTCTTCCTAAACAAGAGGAATCAGAAACTCTCCCTTTGGGTTTCTGGGGCTGCAGAAAGGCAAGGGTGCAGAAGGGGGTGAAGACAGTGGCTTTCTTTGATTTGGGGCCACACTCAGCAAATGCTCAGGGATTAATCCTGGCAGGGCTCTGGGGGCCACTCGTGGTCCTGAGATAGAACCCAGGTTATCCTCAGGCAAAGCAAGTGTGCCCTACCCACTGTACTATCTCTACAGCCCAGAAACTGTATTTTTAATAGAATTTGGGCCAAGATAGATCCAGTGTGTCCCCTTTCTTGACTCTGACAGACACAGTGAGTCCAAATTCCAATCACGTGAGCAGGCAACTCTCACGGCTCCCCAATTCCGTAGCATGGTATTTCTCGGCCTTGCTTTCTTCCTCTGCCCCCTCCCATCCTGCCAGATGCCCCCTAAACTCCTCCCATGAACCCATATTTATACTATATTTCACCAATGGTCCCCTTGAACTATCCTGGGGTGCTCATGAGAGGCATTTGGCCCAAGGGTGAGAAATGCTGGTGTAAGTTATCATTAGTCTACTGAATTGTTGGCCAACATTGATACCAGCCTGTAAGCATAACAAATTATTCTCTACTTTTTACCCTTCGGTTGCTCAAAAGAATTTTTCCATATTGCGGAATGAATATCTTGCTATCCGTGTCCCTGAGTTTTCTGAAGACATGACTGGCACACAACACCTACTGTTGTTCTTTTATGGCTCTGTCCTATTCTATCCAGTGACTATAACACTTCAGTCTAGCTATTCACTTGCCTCTGGGGATCAAGGCCAGCTCCCAGTGTGTTTCCTTCAGATTTAGCTTTAGCTTCATAAACAATGCTTTGATGAACATCTTTGTTCATTATACATTATTTACTTTTTTTTTCCTTTGCTTTTTGGGTTACACCCAGTGATGCTCAGGGGTTACTCCTGGCTTTGCACTCAGAAATCACTACTCCTGGCAGTGCTCGGGGGACCATATGGGATGCTGGGAATTGAACCCAGGTCGGCCGCGTGTAAGGCAAACGCCCTACCCGCTGTGCTATTGCTCCAGCCAATAGCACTTATGTGTATTTATTTTGAATTACATTTCTAGAACAGAGTAGAAAAGTGCTCTGCGATCTGATTTGGGTTAAAGATGGTGAATTGTTTTTGATTCTTGATACACAATGTCAAATAATTTCTCCAAAGCATTTCACCAATTCACAGAGTAAATAACATCTTTTAAAAAAATATCTCCCTGTTCTTTCTTTATCTGAAGGTCTTTGTCAAATATCATGAGGGGGGAATCACGCCTTATTAAATTTGTGTTTCATTATTATTCAGGGGATGAGATAACTTTCAGCATCTGTCATTGGTGGTTCCTCCTTTGAAAAGGACCTACCAATATTTGTGCTGAGCTACTTTAAAAAGAGATTATAACATTTATTGCAGGTCAATAACAGTGGAGAAAAACCTGGCTCCAGGTGAAGGAGGGTTTTATTCTTCCCTTAGGGCAGAAGTGGGAAAGCTATTACCAGCTATTGCCGGGAAAATGTCAAACCAAGGAAAGACCCCCATCAGCTGCCTGCTCCTGGCAGTGGAGTGGACCCCAACCACAACAGGACCTCACAAACCTGCATCCTGTCTCTGTGCACAGAGCTATATCTGTGTCAAGTGTGCAGCCTAGGTAAAGAAACAAGGAGAAAAAGCCCTAAGCTTCCGGTCTCATTCTAACTCTACAGCCACGTTCTTCTCCAGAGCACGGTCCCAGCTCCCTGAACCATCCCTTCCATTAAATCCTCCCAACAGTCTCCTGGCCCTGTTCCAGCCAACTGGACACAGTTGCTTACGGCATTTGTCCAGTCGAGATGTGGAATGCATCCGTGGGCTGTCCTGGACACTCCAAAACTCCTGTTGGACACGCATCATGCATTTCATCTACCTACCACCATGCTTTTTATGACTTGTCAACCTCTGCTCATTCATTCATTCCTTCATTCATTCCTATAGATCAGGTTGAGGCACCATGGCAGACTTTTGAACAGAAATCTTTCATTCACTGGTCATTGGTGGTTCCTTTTTCATAACGGACCTACCAATACTTTGTGCCGAGCTCTTTTAAAAAGAGATGGAAACATTTATTCCAGTTCACTCCCATCAGTGAACAAAACAGGCAAACGTCCCTTCCTTCTGCATCTTGTGTTCAAATTGGTGGGCCACAGGCAAGGCCTACCTATTAACTACTAATAAGTAGATAAGTCAGAAAATGGAAGACACTGTAAAAAATCAAAATTAGGGGGAAGGCCGGAGATATGGCACAGCAGCTAAAGCACTTGCCTTGCATGCAGCCGAACCCAGCGTCACATCTGATTCCCCGAGACCCTCCCTCCATGAGTGAACCCTGAGTGCAGTAGGGAGTGAGCACGAGCACTGCCAAACGAGACCCCTTCAGAGCAAAAACAGATAAAGACAGAAGAAGTTGAGGGGTACCCCGGAGCCAGAGCCAGCAGTTAAGGTGCAAACTGTATTTTTGAATACTGAAGCCCAGGTGACCTTTTGAAGTGAGTTGTGAGCAAATATTCACAGTAGGAGAAAGGGTTCACCACATGGATAGCGAGGGAAGGGTTAAAACTACAGATCAGAATTGCCCCAAAACTAATCTCACATTAAACTAACTTATTTTTGAAGAGTTGGAGCAATATCCCAGTGGATAGGGTATCAGTGCATGTGACCAACCCCGGTTCGATCCCCAGCATCCCATATGGTCCCCTGGGCACCACCAGGAGTAATTCCTGAGTGCAGAGCCAGGAGTGACCCCTGAGCATCACCAGGTGTGGCCCCCCAAAGCAAAATAAATAAATAAACTTTTTTTTCTCTTCCAGGAGTTGTTTTTCAGAGCGATAAATCTGGTAACAGTCTTAGTCCTTTGATTTATCCCAGTCTCCAGGGATAAATTCTCCAAAGAACTAGAGCTTATTCTGAAACCAGAGTCCCTCAACAAGGGAAATCCAGACAGTTCACCTTAGGAGGACTCATTCAAAGCTCACCGTCAATTTTCTTTCTAGATCACCCTCTCTCATATTTGCCCATAGAGACTTGATCCTCTCGGCTCATACATTCCCACCTTCCTGCCCAGTCCCAAGAGCCGGGAGACAGATGTGGGCATGCTCATGGTCCAGTGTCCTTATTGGCTCATTCGGTGATAAAACGCTTCCTTTTCTTCAGCAGCTCACATCTTTGTATTTAATTTCTATACAGTGAGGTGGGAAGCCTTTGCTTAGTAATAGGACGTTGGGGCTGGGGAAGAGTACAGCAGGAAGGGCATTTGTCTTGGACTCGGCTGACCCGGGTTCATCCCCAGCTTAATATGGTCCCCTGAGCACCACCAAGAGTAATTCCTGAGTGCAGAGCCAGGAGTAACCCCCGAGCACTGCCGGGTGTGACCCCAAAAACAAAACAAAACAAAAGTAGGATGTTTAGGCAGAAACAGTGAGGACAAAAGCCCTGGAGCTGGGATGACTATGGCTGAGACTTGGTGGCAGGGCAAGCAGTAAGAAAAGACAGAGAGAAAAGAACAGGGCAGGGGGTGGGGGCAGGGCGGAGTAAGGGCAGCCACCTACTCGGAACAATACAAAACTAGGTGCAAGGGTGTGACAGATGAGAAATGAAGGGAATGTTGTTTGAGATTTGGGTTTCGAGGCCACCATGCATGCAATGTCGGGGGTTGATGGAGCTGAGACACCCACACTCCAGGACACGCCTCACAGGTCCAGGTGCTCAGGAGGACAGAGAAGAGCACACCTGACGCCACCTCAGGCACCAGGGGTGGGGCCGTGCATATGGCTACTCTCGGGTGGTCTGTGAACAGCCGAGAGAAGCAGAGGGCTGGGAGAAGACATTGACTTACGAATTCAATAAACAGTCAGGATGGGAGCTGTGGTCCACACACATTAAGAGCTTCACTGGCCTACACAAGGAAAAGAAACAACCATCAAGGGATGATCTGACTCTTGTGCAACAAATAAAGATGGGGTATCTGCCTTGATAACAAACACCTGACCCACAAAAACCACTTTCCTTCTAAAACACTTAATCAGCGTTTATTGAGCACTTACTTACCATGCCATCTGACCATGAGTTTGACAAGGAACAGGGCATTTTGGGGGCTGGGGAGATGGTTCAAAGGGCTGGAGTGCACACATCATATTCACAGAGTCTGGAGTCTGGTTTCTGGCACCACCCTCCCATCCGACCCAGTTTGCCTCAATGGCCCTGGCAACCATCGTTCACCAAACCTGAGCATTAAACTTTTTAACTGGGTTGACTGAATATGTAGGGAATGACCCTGGGGACACTGAACACTACTTAAGAACACCCTTCCCTCCCCTTCCCTGCACAGAGATGATCTCATTGAATCCTTACAACCCCAGATGGAGCAGAGACTATTATCATCTCCAACTGACGGCTGAAAGACGACCAGAGTGAGCGGTGGGTTGAGCTTGAACCTCACAGACTCAAGCATAGAAGCCCTTCGCTATGGCTCTGTGGTTCTCTCTCGTCTCTCAAACTTGGGGCAGGAGCTTGGGCTTGAAGCATGTGACTTATGGCTGACTCCTGGGCCTCAACCAAGAAAGCTCCATTGATCTGCACAGTGGAGGAGAAGGTGTGGTGTTCAGGACTAGAGCGATAGTACATTGGGGAGGGAATTTGCCTTGCACGCGGCTCACCCAGGTTCAATCCCTGGCATCCCATATGGTCCCCAAGCCCTGCCAGAAGTAATTCTTAGTGCAGAACCAGAACCCCTGAGCATCTCTGGGTGTGACCCAAAAAGTCAAAAATTAAAAAATAAAATAAATAAAAATAAAAGATGTGGGGTTCTGGGGGCAGCCAGGATGGCAGGGATGCAGCCACAGAGAGAGGACGTAGGGGACGGGCCACCCTGGGTACTGGGCAGGAGGCAGGTGATGGGGACAGCATTGGGCCGCAGGACATGGGCTGTGAGACCCTCTCCCTGGGGTCACCTCCTTTTTCAGGAGAGTCTGCATGCCCAGACATTCCTCACAAGACAAGGGAATACGGAGAGATAAGGTCTTGCCATGAGCTTGGGAGCAACTTGAAACTATCACAAACTAGCACCTAACCTAGGAGGGGCAAGAGGTTGTCACTTCCTTCCAGGGAGCTTGGAGTTTTGCCGTGAGCCCTGGAAGACTGAGGTGTAGATGATCTGCCCTGGTACGACTAAGCCTTTTCTCCCCTCCGTGGGTGTAAAGGGGATACTTGTATAAAGTTTGACATCAGACAAGACTCATCTGTAGAAGAGTTGTTCCTGCGGGCAGGTGAGGAGATGGCCAAAAGGACCAAGGGGACGCTGTGCGTGCTGGCTACCTTCCATTCACCTGCCTACTACTGGTTCCATGGGTGTGCTGAACGGAAATTGTGCACTTTTTGGCACATGGGCTGTATTTCCAAAAGAGAGTTTTTACTTTGTTGTGTTTTCAGAGGGTGACAGACAGACCTTTTAGTTTTTGGGGGGACACACACAGTGGTACTAGTTCAGGGGCTTCATGTCTAATCTCAGCAGCTCTCAGGGGACCATGAGGTGGCAGGAATGGAACCTAGGCTCAATCCACTGCGCCTCTCTCCAGGCCCACATACTGAACAGAATTTTCTGAGAGCAATTAAAAAGCATATGAGGAACGATGTGACTTTTTTTTTCTTTTTGGGTCGCACCTGGCTATGCACAAAGGATACTCCTGGCTCATGCACTCAGGAATTACTCCTGGCAGTGCACGGGGACCATATGGGATGATGGGAATCGAACCTGGGTCGACCGCATGCAAGGCAGACGCCCTCCCCGCTGTGCTATTGCTCCAGCCCCCAACAATGTGACTTTAAGCTTGGGAAAGAGAATGGCTTTGAGGGACTCATTCTCCTGGGAACCTGAGAGGGGCACCCATACTTCCAGGGGCCTTAGCTCCTCTGGAGGGTCATCAGATCATCAGGGGGGTGGAGCCATTTGGGGGGGGGAGCTCCAACAGTACTTGGGGTAGAGGGGGGAGCGGGGAGTTGTTACTCCCAGTTATACTTGACCAGCCAGGCAGGACAGAAGCAGCCTCTGGGCGTGACAAACCACCTACACGTGGTCGTTGATGCAGCTGTACCGAAAGCCCATCCCCTCCAGCCTCTCTTGCAGGATTCTCAGGCTGCCTTCTCCGCAGGATTCCCTAAAACACAGAAACATGCATGTGAGCGGGAGTGGCTGCGCCCTGCACGCGGCGATCACACTGCAGTGGGGAGGAGGAGAAGGAGGAAGTTGGTGGGAGGATAATGAAACCGTCTTTGACCAGATGTTCCCAGGCTAGTCTCGTCTCTGTTGGAATAAAGGAAAGTCTGTGACCCTGGAAGTGCGGGGTAAACCCTCAAGGCCCCCAGGAGCCAAAGCACTAGGAGGTTCTGCGCTTGCTCGGTACGCAGTAGGGTGCCACACAGACCTACCAGCTTCTTCCACGCGCCTGGAAGACGCAGCGTTAACTACCTAGTGCTTCCTCTAACTGACAGTGTTACATTGACATTTAAAGGTCAACAAAAACACGCACATAAAATATATATATGTAAATGCTAATAAATAAAAGAAGGAAGATTTAAAAATTTAAATTCCTTCAATTCTCACATTACCAAAGATACCAGTTGGTTACATAGTTGGGTGCACACCACTGCTAAATTTTCACTCCTAGGAGCCTTTTTAAACGCAGTGATTGGGATTCTGCATTTTGCATCCTGCCTTTGCTCCTGTCTGCATACAGACATCTAAACCTGCCAACCATTGGTTCCTATTTCTGCGTAGTCTCCTTCACATAATCCGAACATGATTCATAAACCCGGTCCCCTTTTGCTCAAGATCAAGGTTGACTGCTGTCTTTCGATTATTTCTATTCAATTTCGGTATTTTATGTTTAATTGTCAAATATCTTAATGTAGTGTTGTTAACATGTCTGGTTATGTTGAAATTTATTTTCATACACAGTCTTAGTTACTTGGAGGTTTTCTGTTTCTTTGTTTTGGTTTGTTTTGGTTTAGTTTGGGGGTCACACCTGGCAATGCTCAGGACTTACTCCTTGTTCTGTGCTCAGGGATCACTCCTGGCAAGGCTCAAGGATAATGTGGGATGCCAAGGATAGAATCTGCATTGGCTGTGTGCAAAGCAAGTGCTCTACCCACAGTACTCTCTCTCTGACTCCTTAATTACTTGTTTTCTGAGCTTAATTCCTGAATGTTGGTTTTTTGGTGTGACGGTTTTGGAATGCATTGTAAGTCTCGGCTCATACTGCATTGTACCCCCATGATGTTGCTTACCTAGCAGTATCCATCATTGATGGAGAAGATTGATTCAAGTTCATATTTATGTACATTCAAGCACTTTCCAGAAAATAGGAGTCTTCAATATTTGCTGGACCACTTTTCCAAGACTCAGTTACAGAGCTAGCTGTTTTCTGAAAATGCAGTCTTCAGCACAAAGTCCCAAGATCGAAGCTAAGAACTCCTGGTGAGAGTTTGGGGGTTTCTAATGACCAGTGCAGAAGAAATTTGGCAAATTGGGATAACAGGTAAAACGACTTTGCAGAGGCTTTGGGTCAGCTATGGAGGTGAAATAAAATTACTTCTTCCCTTGAGCTGTGACGATTTCCATGGCTGCCTGCCCATCTACACACCAGTCTCCTGCTACAGTCCCGCAAATATGAAGGGACGAGCCCAGCACTGGAAAGCCCAGAGCCAAGTGGCCACCTAAACAAAGCTTGCCTGCTCTGAGCTTACATTTCCTCGTTCCTGGAACGCTCGCTGCCTCAGAGGCCTCCACCCACAGCTGAGGTAGCACCTGTGAGTTCAAAATCTTGTTTTCTTATTCAGCCAGGATGTTTGGCATCATCAAAGACAAACGCTTTGTAACTTCAAATGATGCCTTTACTCTGAATGTTTGGTCTGCACCTGTTCCCTTGGCAGGTAAGTTAGAAGTCCAGGCGTGGGGAAGGCGGAGTGGGGTGCAGGGAGCAGTGAGGAGCGGTTAATCAGAGCTTCCTGCATTGGTTCTGCTGCTTCTCAGCTGCCCCAATTTTGGCTCTGAAAATAAAAAAGGTTTTCTTTTTCTCCATATTTTAGTGATTACTTTTCAGATGACACCAGAAAGAGACATGGACAACTATATAAGGAACTCTCTGGGCCAGTGCTGTCCAGCTAGCTCAGAAAGGAACTCAATTTCCCTTGGCTAAGAGGAGTATCTGGAAAAATGTTCTCTCTCTCTCTCTCTCTCTCTCTCTCTCTCTCTCTCTCTCTCTCTCTCTCTCTCTCTCCCCCTCTCCCTCTCTGTCTCTCCCTTCGGGATTTGCTAGGGGCCAAAATGCCAAGCTTTCCTTTGCCTTTCTCTACCACGTCAGAAGACTGCTACTGGGGGCTGGAGCAATAGTACAGCAGGTAGGGTGTTTGCCTGGCACACGGCCGGCCCAGGTTCAAGTCTCAGCATCCCATATGGTCCCTGAGCACTGCCAGGAGTAATTCCTGAGTGCAGAGCTAAGAGTAAGCCCTGTGCATAGCCGAGTGTGACCCAAAAAGAAAAGAAAAAAAAAATAAGACTGCTATTGTCTGCAAATATCCTCGGTGAAAATACAAGACAAACTTGATGACATCACGCAAGGGAAGCACATTGGCAAAACTGACCATCGCAAGAGCAATATGACTTACACTTTTTGTTTCCCAATGTCATGCATAACCCAGACCTCAACTCGTGTGATTTTTTCCTTCTGGAGGTAGGGGATTTCGTAATCTGCAAAAAACCTGAGAAACAGGAAGACATTTCTTTAAGTTCTAAAATAATCTAACACTTTCCCCACTCCACTTTTTTTTATATACACATTACTCTTGTTTTAAAGCATATACGGTGTTTTTTTGTTTGTTTTTGTTTTTTAACTTCATTCTTAGGTGACTTATTTCCTTCATACGTTTGTCAGGTGCTAGTGGTAGTAAATGTATAGTCAAAGCTTTGATGTGCCCAGATCACCGGAGACTTCTCAGGATGGGCTAAGTCAAGTCCATGCCTTGTTGGACTCCACCCACCCACCCACACCTGCTTCCGCTCGCATTTAAAGGGCCTGACCCATGACAAATCTTGGAGAGAAGCTGCAGCAGAGGTGAAATTGGTAGACCTGAGGTCCCATGCTGCTGAATCATCCCAGTGACACAGTTGCTGGAGTATATGGCCACACACGCAGCCATGTGACACTGCCAAAGTTCACAGTACTAACAACCTAGAAAATTAGATGTGACAGCTGTGTAGAAACCTACTAAGCTCCAGGAGTGAAAACAGTAGCACAGAAGGCCCAGCTAGCACCTAACAGCTCAGCAAATCATCAGACAATGACTTTAGTGATACCATTATGCCATATACGTTGTCACAAGAAAAGAAAGTAAGTTATTTTGTGCCTGCTAAGGAGGCAGGCTGGGAAGAGAGGGGTTACCATGGGACACTGGAGGAGGGAGGTCATACTTGCGGTGGAATTTGTGTCGAGATATTGAATACCTGAAATGATTTATAAGTAATTTTGTAAATTACTATATTTAAATGCAGTTTTGGGCAGAGAAGCGGTGGGGGGAGAGGGAGAGAGGGAGAGAGAGAGAGACAGAGCGAGAGAGAGAGAGAGAGAGAGAGGAGAGAGGTGCCCACCGTAGAGGCAGGCAGAGTGGGGTGGAGGAGGGAAACTGGAGACAATGGTGGTGGGAAATGTACACAGGTGAAGGAATGGGTGTGGGGAACATTATCTGGCTAAAACCCAATCATGAACAAATTTGAAACACTGTATTTCCCTGTGATTCAATTAAAAAGTAGTTTCAAATGAAAAGAAAGCTCTAATTTTCCATTGCTTTGTTTTAGCTAAATGCTAACAATAAATTCATTAAGCAGTGGATGAAGAATTAGGATAATTCTCTTTAGTCTCCCGCAAAACAAAACACTGAAGTTTCTGGTGCTGGAATTCTTACCCCTGGACAGGATAGGCTCCTGATGACTCTGACCCATTCAGCATGATGTAGATCACCCCAGAACTATCCATTGCATACTGCAGGAAGAAACAAATTTTCTGAGCAAATGAAGATGTCAGTTTTCAGCTATGAAACAAAAAATGTTTTTTTTAAAAAATTACAGTGCTTAATTTGACCCACAGGTGGTCAATGCACCTGGTAGGAATTTATTGAATTTATCTATTTCATATATATATATATATATATATATATATATATATTTGTCCTGGGAGAGAACAAGGCAGAGTCTCCTACCCTACCCTATGCCTGACTGTCTCCACCAGGACCCAACAGCTGAAGACCACCGAGGCCCAGCCAAGGCCATGCTGGGACCACTCTCCACACACTTGGATGAGCCTCACGCATAAAAGAACTGACAGAGGAACCCAGGTGTGTGGGACCCGGGGCTGAGATCTCCAAGCCTGCACGGTTTGGGACTGGACCTGTCAGTAGCTAGACAGTTACACCCTCCAACTGCCGTGTAACTCCAACAATGGCCAGGATCCAGAGATCATCACACTCAGCTCCTGGGAGAGAACAAGACAGAGTCCCCTACCCTATGCCTGACTGTCTCCACCAGGGCCCAACAGCTGAAGACCACCGAGGCCCAGCCAAGGCCATGCTGGGAGCACTCTCCACACACTTGGATGAGCCTCACGCATAAAAGAACTGACAGAGGAACCCAGGTGTGTGGGACCCGGGGCTGAGATCTCCAAGCCTGCACAGTTTGGGACTGGACCTGCCAGTAACTAGACAGTTACACCCACCAACTGCCGTGTAACTCCAACAACAGCCAGGATCCAGAGATCATCACACTCAGCTCCTGGGAGAGAACAAGGCAGAGTCTCCTACCCTATGCCTGACTGTCTCCACCAGGGCCCAACAGCTGAAGACCACCGAGGCCCAGCTAAGGTCATGCTGGGACCACTCTCCACACACTTGGATGAGCCTCACGCATAAAAGAACTGACAGAGGAACCCAGGTGTGTGGGACCTGGGGCTGAGATCTCCAAGCCTGTACAGTTTGGGACTGGACCTGCCAGTAACTAGACAGTTACACCCACCAACTGCCGTGTAACTCCAACAACAGCCAGGATCCAGAGATCATCACACTCAGCTCCTGGGAGAGAACAAGGCAGAGTCTCCTACCCTATGCCTGACTGTCTCCACCAGGGCCCAACAGCTGAAGACCACCGAGGCCCAGCTAAGGCCATGCTGGGACCACTCTCCACACACTTGGATGAGCCTCACGCATAAAAGAACTGACAGAGGAACCCAGGTGTGTGGGACCTGGGGCTGAGATCTCCAAGCCTGCACAGTTTGGGACTGGACCTGCCAGTAACTAGACAGTTACACCCACCAACTGCCGTGTAACTCCAACAACGGCCAGGATCCAGAGATTATCACACTCAGCTCCTGGGAGAGAACAAGGCATTCGCGGCCGCGTGACATCTTATCATCTCATTCCTAATTTGGTCAAACTGGCAGGCTACCAATTGTAACATGCCCACACGGCAGAGTCTGGCAAACTCCCCGTGATATACCCAATATGCCAAATACCAGTAACAATGATGGGTCTCATTCTCCTAACCCTGAAAAAGCCTTGAATATGGCACTTTAAAAAAAAAATCTCAGGGCTAGGACGAAGAAGACGTTACTGGCACCTGCTCGAGGCAATTGACGAACAACAGGGTGGTCGTGATCGTGATCGTGATCTATTTCTGAAAACAAGTTGCCTTGAAATGTCAATTTCATAGAGTTAGTGATGCCAAGTCCAGGAATCTGTCTGAAGAGGCTGGATGAAACTAAGTTAATGTTGCCATTACAAAAAGTTTCACAATCTCATTAATAGCTTTAAATTACAGAGATTCGAGGGGCTGGAGTGATAGCACAGTGGGTAGGACGTTAGCCTTGCATCCGGCCGACCTGGGTTGGATTCCCAGCATTCCATATGGTCCCCTGAGTACCGCCAGGAGTAATTCCTGAGTGCATGAGCCAGGAGTAACCCCTGTGCATCTCCGGGTGTGACCCAAAAAGCAAAAAAAAAAAAAAAATTACAGAGATTCGAAGCTAGGGAGATAGTACAGTGGGGAGTAGTACTTCACATGCAGCTAACCCCGATTCAATCCCTAGTACCCTATATGATTCCCCAAGCACCACCACCATCCTTGAGCACAGAACCAGGGGTAACCCCTGAGCATCACCAGTGTGACCTCCCCTAGGAAACCAAACAAATAAATAAATAGCAAAGGTTTACTTCACATTCACACTACATAAGTAGTTTGCCAGTGACCCCCTGGGGTTTCATGCCAAATGTCCTTATTCTGGGACCCACGCTTAGGACACTGTCAGAAAGGGAGAAGGAAAGGTAACAAATCACTGACCAGTTTTTAAAGACTTCCATCTAGAGGTGACATAGGCTAGCCTGAGTCACATGTAAGTTTGCCGTGAGGCAGGGAGGTGCAAACCCGTGTGTTGAAGCTTGGTTAACAGCACTGAGATCCACCTGGCTCTAAGATGCACACACAGTGAAATGCATTTAGGCCTAATGCAGCGCACGAATCTGCAACAGTGCCCAGCAAGGAAATGGTAAGGAAGTCAAGGCACTTAGGTGTTTGAAACATTAGCTAGGCATTAATAGTCTACAAAGGATTTGCTACAGCAAGTCTAAAAGAAAGTGCTGGTGTTTACAGCAAAATCTAAGAATGGTGGATTCCAGCAAGATCGCCTCTATCCTACCATGGCACCACCCCCAAAAAACTGCAGAACAGGAATAATAAGATGCCTTTTGCCTGGAGCAGAGCCCTCCTCCTCCTATGTCGCCCACACACACACTGAACTTCAAAGTGGTGGGGGAACTGATTGCTCTCCATCTCACCCTGGTGAATCATGGCCCACTGGACACTTGGAAATCCAAGGCAGAAAATGGCATGGAGAGACATTTAGTCTCAAAAGGCCTCACAGCAGTGAGTAAAATGCCTGGGAGTTCACATACTACCTGTCAGTACAGCTAACATTTATTTATTGATTTATTTACAGCTAACATTTAATAGTTCACAGGCCGAGGCCAGGTTATTACCTAAGAATGAAACTTTATTGTAAATCATGAGTCTAATCCTGGAAACAGAAACTGAATTCTGTAATCACCAGACATTTTATAGCGACTGGTAACCATCTTATGCCAGGCCCTGACCTAAGAGTGAAACCCTCCTATCTGCTCATCACTAGTCTCACCCTGGGAACAGAAACTGTCATCTGTATTCATAGACATTTTATAGCTACTGGTCACTGCCATCTACTCAGCAGACAATAGTCTAAGAAGCAAGCCTGCTTCAAGAGAACCATTTCTTTTTGTTTTTTGGGGGTTCTTTTGTTTGTTTGTTTGGTTGGTTGGTTGGTTTTGTTTGTTTGTTTGTTTTCTTTTTGGGTTACACCCACCCAACCTGCACAGGGGTTACTCCTGGCTCTGAACTCAGGAATTACTCCTGGCGGTGCTTGGGGGACCATATGGGATGCTGGGAATTGAACCTGGGTTGGCTGTGTGCAAGGCAAACGCCCTACCCGCGGTGCTATCACTCCAGCCCCAAGAGGACCATTTCTAAGTCTCCAGCTCATCCTTGGTTCTCTCACCTCCTTCCCCACTAGCATCCCTCTTATTCCTTCCTCTCCAACAGCAGGTCTTAGATCACCCAAAGCCATCCACAGAGCAGGGGCCATCCTACTTTACAAAACCATTCCTCTCTATTTAGAATAAGAATCTCAGGACCCAGAGCGACAATGTGGCAGGTAAGGCAAGTGGCAGACCCAGGTTCAATCCACGGCATCCCATAGGATCCCCTGAGCACTGCCAGAAATGATTCCTGAGTGCAGAGTCAAGAATAATCCCTGAGCACCCCAGGTGTGGCCCCCAAAACAAAAATTAATTAATTTTTTAAAATATGACTCTCAGGGAAGCTGGAGAGATAGCACAGTGGGTAGGGTGTTTGCCCTTGCACGCGGCCAATACGGGTTTGATTCCCAGCGTCCCATATGGTCCCTTGAGTGCCGCCGGGGGTGACTCCTGAGTGCAGAGCCAGGAGTAACACCTGTGCATCGCCGGGTGTAACCCAAAAAGAAAAAATATATATATGACACTCAGGGACTGGAGTGATAGCTCAGCAGGTAGGTCATTTGCCTTGCACGCCACCAACCCGGGTTCAATTCCCAGCATCCCATGTGGTCCCCCGAGCACCACCAAGAGTAATTCCTGAGTGCATGAGCCAGGAGGAACCCCTGTGCAATGCAGGTGTGACACAAAAAAGATATATATATATATATATGACTCAACCACAACATGGCAACAATAAAGTGGACTATTTAATCCCCTCATCCCTAGCTGACATTCACTTGAATGTTTTCTTCTCTGGGCAGGCACTGCACTGAATTCCTTAGTTCCTTCTGCCTCATAACTTCATGCAACAGAGAATGAATCCGAATGTGGCAAATATGAACATGAGATGTTGAGAAACTAAGCAGTGACTGTCTGGCTCCTTCTCCGTCCCCCTCTGTCCCTGTCCTGCTGTCCCCCTGTGCTCAGGAAATAGGGGCTGTCCCTGCTGCCCGGCATTACCTGGATGGAGGCCCTTTTCCAGTAAGAATCCACAGGGTTGTTTTCACAATCTTCTGCAGTTGGGCATGACTGGTAATCAAGCCCTAAAGAGACAACAGACACATTTCTCTCCTGTTGTGCCCGAGTTTCAGATCCTCAATTGCGGAGAGGACAACTCCACACAAGATAACGCAAAAGCTAAGGAACTGTGTTACTAGCCCGAGCTAGGGTCCAAGTCTCATCCAACACTGTGGAGTCTTGACAAGAACCCCGACTCCAACTCACAAGCAGTTTGTGTAGGGTTCAGAGCTAAGAACCAATTTATATACTGGCCTATTTTTATTGGCCCTGTTGCAATGGTGGTCAGCAATTAGGCAATGGTCAGGAACAGTTTCTAAGGAGGGTGCAGTGACCCTTCATGACCGGCCAGACCCAACTGCCCAGTTCCTTATCTAGGCACATCACTCTCCTGGGAGTCGGCCAGAAACTGCAAGTCCTGCTCCAGGGAAACAGAAACTGAGGCCTAGTTGAGACTTCATGTCGCTGCAGCTCGTCACGGCTGCTAGGGAGCCTGCTCCTGCCCTCACGCCCCAAACTGTCATCAGGCTGGAGTTCATGCGCGACACTTGCCTGCGCAGAAGGAATAGCATGAGGGTGCATGCTGTACCACGCGCACAAGGCTCTGTCCACTCGGTCCTCGAGGAACCTGGGGGGCCCCCTCCCCAAAGGAGCCTGATGAGAGGACACTTGGTATTTGGCCCCGTACCAAGAGGAGGAAGGCAGAGCTCAGAGGTTGGGAAGGAGTGAGCGGGGCCGTCCTGGAGCACCAGCAGAATCCAGGGAGCACTTCTGCCCCCGAGCTGCACGCGGGAGTCTCACCTGTGCCATTGGCCTGTCGGCACCAACTCAGGAAATCCCCCACCCTGCCGTAGAGGACGTCACACAGAGGCATCAGGCGCTTCGCGTTCTCTGAGTAGCTCATGACCAGCTGGTGGTTATTTTCCCAAAACAGGGACTAAGGGAAGACAAGGCAGAAATGAGAATGGAAGGGGAAATCACAACAGGGTTGAAGACCGTGTCACGGAGACAAGTCGGGCCAATCACATCTCAACTGAGCGTGGCTTGTTCACAACGGAGCGTTCGTTGTCCATCTGGAGAGAGCCACCCACCTACCTTTAACCTTCAACCTTCACTCTTCCCTCTGGCCCTGGTTTAGCAAAACCGGGACCTGGTTTTGTCAGAGACCAGATGAGTGAACTCAACCTATGTGATCCCAGTGCCTGAGTTTCCCGAGATTGAGGAAAACAAGGAGCAGCAGGTTTCATTTTCTTCCACAGCTGTGGTGAGGCTGATGGATGACCCCCAAAGGCACTTCCTTTTTTTTTTCTTTTTTTATTAGTGAAACACCATGAGGTACAGTTATAGGCTTATAAATTTTTGTGCTTCGGTTTCAGTTATACAATGATTAAGTACCCATCCCTCCACCAGTGCCCATCCTCCACCACCACGGGTCCCAGTATCCCTCCCACCCCCCTATTCCCCCCCCCCCCCCAAGTCCCACCCTGCCTCTGTGGCAGGGCATTCCCCCTTGTTCTCTCTCTCTTCTTTTGGGTACTGTGTTTTGCAAAAGAGGCTTTGAGTGGCAATCATGTTTGGTCTATCGACTACTTTTAGCATGCTTCTCCCACCCTGGGAGGACCCTCACAACACCCTTCATTTGGTACTCTCTTCTCTATCTGAGCTTCCTTTTCACCTAGAGCCTGTGGCTGGCCTTCCATTCATGGAGCAAAATTCCTGGTACTAATCTCAGCCATTCCTGGGTGTTAGTCTCCCTTTTTGTTGCTTTATGTTCCCCAGATGAATGCAATCTTTCTGTGTCTATCCCGCTCTTTCTGACTCATTTCACTTAACATGATACTTTCCATGTAGTACGACTTGTATGTAAATTTCATAACTTCATCTTTTCTAACAGCTACATAGTACTCCATTGTGTAAATATACCAAAGTTTCTTTAACCAGTCATCTGTTCTCGGGCACTCAGGTTTTTTCCAGATTCTGGCTATTGTAGAGTGCTGCAATGAACAAACAATTGCAGATGTCACTTCGACTATACCTTTTTGCCTCTCTGGGATATATTCCCAGGAGTGCTATAGCTGGGTCAAATGGCAGATCAAATTCTAATTTTTTGAGAGTCGTCCATATTGTTTTCCAAAAGGGTTGGACCAGCCGGCATTCCCACCAGCAGTGAAGGAGGGTCCCTTTCTCGCCACATCCGCGCCAGCACCGGTTGCTTTTGTTCTTGTGGATGTGGGCCAGTCTCTGTGGTGTGAAATGATATCTCATTGTGGTTTTGATCTGCATCTCTCTGATGATTAGTGATGTAGAGCATTTTCTCATGTGCCCAAAGGCACTTCCTAAGGGGTGAAGTGTCTCAAGGGATCCTCACAGGAATAACGAGAACAGCCCACACACTTTCCTCAGGGCTGCTCCTCTGGGTCTACAGCAAGACTCGAAGATTCCCTGATCTAGAGCCATAGTAGAGCAGGGAGGGCCTTTGCCTTGCAAGCGACCGACCTGGGTTCGATCCCTGGCATCCCATACGCTGCCCCGAGCACTGCCAAGGAGTAATTCCTGAGTGCAGAGCCAGGAGTAGCCCCAAGTGTGACCCAAAAAGCCGAATAAAAGGGGGGGACGTGGCAGGGCTAGCTGGTTGCCTGTTGCATCCTTAACCTGCAGCCCAATGCCCAGCCGGGTGTGTGTGTGTGTGTGTGTGTGTGTGTGTGTGTGTGTGTGTGTGTGTGTGTATAACACTCAGTACACTCAGTAACCAGTGCTCTGTCTAGGGTTGGCGGTTTCTGAATATGTCTGCCTGTCAGGTGCAGCCTAGAGGCCAGAGCCCCTCTAGGGTGGCCCAAGCTCCCTGGTCCCGCAGGGCGCAAATAGCAGCCTCAGGACACCACATCCTCGCACTCAACCTCGCCGGTCTGAGTAGCCGAGAATCTCAAGGAACGTCCGCCCCCCCAGGTTCCTTGAGTGCCACTTGGGAGGTCCCCCGTTAAAAACTCACTCTTCAGGGGCCAAAGGGATAGAACAGCGGCAGGGCATTTTCCTTGCAAACAACCCCGGATCCGATTCCTGGCATCCCATAATGCTGCTGCCCCGAGCATCGCCAGGAGAAATTCCTGAGTGCAGAGCCAGGGGTAGCCCCTGAGCTTCATCGGGTGTGACCCAAAAAAGCAAAAAAAAAAAAAAAAAGAATTTGTGCTTCCAGCGAGTAGTACTTTCCTCTTCTGTTTCTGGGCTCTGTGCTTTACTTCCCTCTAGTCTCGGCTGCAGTTGGTGCTGTCAGGGTGGGTGGGGTGGGGTTCCCAGGGGTCCTGCTTTTCCATTTCCTCACGCTGCCCTCGCCCAGCCGCTTGGCTCGCCCCTGCTCCCACACTTGCTCCCAGGCAGGGCTCACCCCCTGGCTGCGTGTCTGCCGTGGGCTGGGGCATCCCGACCACACTTGGCCCTGCGGCTGTGCTTGTGCCAGGCCGAACTTCTGGCCACTGAGTCATCCCCGAGATCCAAATGCAGTTTCTGGGTGCAGGGATCGCCCTAGTGATGCCGGGGGCCCAGAGGCCACTTGCAGCCCTTACTCAGTTCTCGGTGTGGGCCTCGTAGCTTAGTGCTCGGCCCGGCAAAGCGGAGCCACTCACCTTGGCCATGCTGAAAGCCAGTGGGGCTGCCCCGGCGCTGCTCCCAGGACCAAGTGACACTCCACCCTCTGACCCATCTCCCGGGTCTGCCAGTGCTGTGGCCCTCAGGCCTTGCCCGTGAGACAAAAAAAAAAAAAACTAAGTTCAGATGTTAGGTTCAGAAAGGGCCTCAGCCTCTTTAAAGGCAAAGTACTGTTTTAAACAATCTATTTTTGGTTTAGGGTTCGGGAGCCCATCTGGCAGTGCTCGGGGCCTATTCCTGACTCTGGGTCTGGGATTGGGTACTGAGTGCCTAGAGGAAGGGCTGGCAGTGCCAGGGATAAAACCCAGGGCCATCTCATGCCAGGCAGGCTTTGTCCCCGCCTAGCCAGTTGAACGAGCTTTCCTGGAGCAAGTGTGTTGCATAGGCTTAATTTTCATTTTATTCAGATCTAAAGTGCAGACAGAATGCAGATGTGGTGTGTTTACAGGAGTGGGTGCTGGCTAGATCCTGCCAAGTACCAGTGAGGAGGAGGACAGATGGGTCTCGGGGATAGATCCAATTTGAGGGTTTCCTGGGTGACTGATCCTGATTCAATCCCTGGCACCACATCAGGCCCCCAAGTCCTGCCAGGAGTGACCCTTGAGCACAGAGCCACAAGTAAGCCCTGAGCATGAGCCAGCATGGCCAAAATAAATAAATTTTAAAAAAATTAAAGATGACCTCTCCATGGGCCCTGGAAATCAGCAGGAACCCCAGAAATCAAGCACTATGACTTTGCCGTGCAGGTGACCCCGGCCTCTAACCTTGTCTGTGGGGAGGGTGTGCCGAGACAGCTCCATGAACAGGTCGTAGTCCGAGGGGAGCACGTTACAGGGGTCCTTGTCCAAAACCACTCGGAAAGCTTCCCAGATGGCCGTGCAATTCTTGTTCCTGTGCAGTTACAAGTTAGGGGGGGACCCAGGTGGTGGGAACCATTGCCACTTCTGTCCCAGTCTCTGTGGACTGTGGTGCCACTTATTAGCCCTGCACATGGAGATTCATGAGACGTCAGCAAGGCATCATGGTTCATAGCACACGCCCACCTCAGAAGAGAGAAAGGGGGACGTGCAGGCCTGGGCGCAGGGCAGTGTGGGAGCCCAGGGACCCATTCTTGCCCTGGGACCCGAGACGCAGAGCTCGTGTTCAGAGTGGCAGTTCCTGAACATCACAGCTGTGAGCAGAAGGCCAGGGCTAGTGGAAGGCAGGGAGGGGCAGGCGGCAGAGTGCCCAGGGCTAGCCAGGCCCTGCCACCTCCTGCTGCGGCAGAAACAGTCCCCGGGATCAGCCTCGCTCCAGCACCGCTGCCAGCTTACAGCAGCCTTGCCCAGTGCCCTGAGCCTCCTCCATCCCGCGTTGGGTGGTGGCAAATGTGGGTGTCCCTTAGAGTGTGCCCCACTCTTGTTCACTTGCCAAATCTCTCCTCTCTCTCTCTCTCTCTCTCTCTCTCTCTCTCTCTCTCTCTGTGTGCGCGTGCATGCACTGCATCGTGCACACGTCTGTCTTCTGTCTCTCTCACACACACAAAAAGATTTGTTCTTTGTGTCATGGAAAAATTTGTTGTCATTGTGTATGGAAACAAATAAAGTAGGTCCGAAGATCAAGTTCACAGTCAGGGAACCCAGGCTGGAGATCTGAGCCCAGGAGAAGCACGGTGTTGGCCGCACCTCTCGTCCCCCGCCCCACCCCACCCGGGACCCAGACACCCCCACATGACACCCGCAGACACTCACTCCGCTTGCATCACACATCCACAGGCAATCTCACCGGACTATACACCTGCTTCTCTTTTCTTTTTCTCCTGGCAGTGTGAGGGCTCGAACTCTTACGCAGCTTCTCCGACACCGTCAACCGCCGCCCGCCCGGCGACCTGTCCACGCCACACCCTCTCGCACCCGGTTCCACTTGCAACTCTGGGCTCCCCTGACCGCTCGGACCCAGCGTCCGGCTTCCCTTGGGGACCCCCTTCCTCCTCCGCACCCCTGGGCGGCTCACCGCTGCTCGGGGCTCAGCCACTGGAGGAACTGGTGGCAGCGGCCCAGGAAGATGCTCTGCAGGTGCGGGCTGGTCCCCTCGCCGCTCCAGCGCGCCCCGCCCGCCGCGGGCAGCGCCCACAGCAGCAGCAGCACCCGCGGCAGCCAGGAGGCCGCGCGCCCCCGGCCCCCCGTCGCGGCCACCATGGGCTCCGGCGCTGACCCGTTCTTCCCGGCACCAGGGAGGCCCCTGGAGCTCCGGCCCGGCCTGACCCGCTCTGGCCCGCTCCGTCCTGGAGAGCATCGACAACGGGGCGGGGCGCGTGACTCAGCTCTCAGACCAAGGGGCAACGTCCAGGTGTGCTCCGCCCCCGCCCGACCCCGGGGAGCTGGAAAGCATCAGGAGCGGCGGGGACGGGGGCGGGGGGCAGGCTGGGTTTGGGTCAGGGGCGCCGAGAAACTTTTCGGACTGGGCCGTAAGTCCCTCCGCCCGTCTGACTGGCGGGCAGAAGTCTTCTCCAGGGGCTGCGCGGGGGCTGCTCCGGGCATCTCCGCAGGGCGGCTGAGTCAGGCTGCGTCACAGCCCAGCATCCGACAGGCGCAGGAGGTCTGCTGGGCTCCAGACAGACTCCACCGCCCCCCCTTTTGGCTTCCAACCCGGGCCACTGTTCTGGAGACTCCCCCCCCCCCCCCCCAAGAGGTAAGGCTGGAGAAGAGGGCGAGGAGAGGTTTGTCACATTGATTCAGAATTGATCCATACTGAGTCACGCCCTCCTCAAGCATTATTTTACTTTTTACAACATCCCTCCGAGTTCCGGTTATCCTGTCCACTTTAGACTTTACAGTTAGTCCAGGAACTTTCGTAGTTGTTCCTCCATCATTTCTCTTCCTGAGAGCCAAGCCCAGTGGCACCCGGAAAAGCAGAGGCTGAGAAAAAAATAATCATATTTATTTGGGAGGGCCTCTGTTTTGCAAATCCAGGAGCACAAAATCATCCTGAAATTCTTCCCACTTTTCTTTGCTTAGGGTGGTTTAAAGGGAAAAAACGGAGGGAGGAAAAGGAAGGGACCCAGTGCTACCGATGGTTGGAGAAGACTGACTTCAGTCAACTTGACCTTGCTGACAATGGAGAGAAGAGAAAAAAATATTGAACTTTGGAGTACACGTCTCCATGGGAGCTGACTCTTGCCCATCAGTAAATCTGCTTTTATGCGTCTGGGAGGTGGGCACAATGCTCTAAGACATCCCTTACTGCAAACTAATGCCCTCTCCTTCCTGGATGGAACTGGCAGTCAAATAAAATCATTGCCAATTACATACATCCAAATCTTTTTTAAAAAAATTTTGTTCCCCCAGATTTTTTTTTAAGTATTAATTTTATTGAACCATTGTGATAGAGCATTATGAAGCTGCTCATGATTGGGTTTCGGTCATACAATGTTCCAACACCCACCACTCCACCAGTGTAACTTCCCAGCACCATTGTCCCGATTTTTCCTTCCCTCCTCCCCCAACACGACTCCTACCCCAGCCAGGGAGAAAGGAGGAGGGAGGAGGAAGGAGGAGGAGGAGGGAGGAGGAGGAGAAGGAGGAGGAGAAGGAGGAGGAGGAGAAGAAAGGAGGAGGAGGAGGAGGAGAAGGAGGAGAAGAAAGGAGGAGGAGGAGGAGGAGGAGGAGAAGAAAGGAGGAGGAGGAGGAGGAGAAGAAAGGAGCAGGAGGAGGAGAAGAAAGGAGGAGGAGAAGGAGGAGAAGAAAGGAGGAGGAGGAGGAGAAAGGAGGAGGAGGAGGAGGAGGAGGAGGAGGAGGAGGAGGAGGAGGAGGAGGAGGAGAAAGGAGGAGGAGGAGGAGAAAGGAGGAGGAGGAGGAGGAGGAGGAGGAGAAGAAAGGAGGAGGAGGAGGAGGAGGAGAATCTTCAATAAGTTTTTTCTGGCTACAGCTGGCAGTACTAAGGTCTTATTTCTAGCTCTACACCCAGATCACTCCTGGCTGGGTTCAGGGACCATATGAAACGGCGGGGATCAAACCCAGGTTGACCTGAGCGCTACGCAAGCACCCTCGCCACTGTACAATCTCTCCATTTCCTAAAAATGAATCTTTCAAGACCTTATTTAGATCAGGACTCTGCTCTGATTAACCCAACAGTTACTCTCCACTTCACAGACAAAAAGCAAGACACCCTAAAATGGTCTACAAAGAGTTTTGTGAGTTATTTGGTTCCCAAATTCTCTCCTGATCTTTTATTAGAATTCTTTCTATAGCATTAACTCTTTTTTTAGCATTAACTCTTAAGTATCACACTGCTTACTCAATTAAGTCTACTCTTCTCTTCCTACTCAGACCATAAGCTTCACTACAGAATGATCTTTTTGCATCACACATGTCCTGATAGTTCATTAAATTTTTATTCAATAAACAAATTACATTATCTGTGTTTAAATACAACACAAAGCAAAACATTCATACAAAATGTGATATGAACAACTTAAATAGAACAGAAAATTATCACAAAATAAGTTATAATAAAATCAAACACCAAGTCAGACTGATTTAAAGGAATGATGTTCTTGTCTGTTCACAAGTTCGTTCCAGTCAGGAGCACAGGAAGACAATGCTACCCGCATATCTGCTGCACCATTTAATCCATTTCTTTCCTTTGTTTTTAACTGGGTTAAAACTGAAAACCCTAGCTCACACAAACTAGTTGTTGTGAATGGTAATAACAAGAGGACACTCTTTTGACTTAGCAAAGGAAAATCTTCCTTTATCTTAATCCAAAATGCAGATAAATTTAATGTTTCATAATCATTCTTCAATGTATATGAAGAACTAAGCTGCAATAATTCATTCTCTTCTTCAGGCACCAAGTTTAACTCAATTACTGATTCTGGGTTTCGAAAAGCAAAGGGATCTTTTACCCAACAGTTTTCCCTTAATGTTTCAATTTTCTCCTCTGGAAAGAAATGATTAAACGTTTGAGACAGAGAAGTGAGATGCAACAGTATCTCTAATTTTATTTCATTCAAAATATTTTCATTAATAATATTCTCTTCAATGTGTTGCAGAAACCTTGGAAACATGTAGTAACTAGGACGGCCGCTTTTAAGCCTCGCTTGCCAGAGCAATAATGTCTTCCGGAATCCTTGGATACGTTCTATGTGTTGAAATATATCATTATTTTTCCCCTGTAGCTTTAAACTCAGTTCATTAAGAATGCCAAAAATATCAGTTAAGTATGCCAATTTCGTGACACAAATGTCATCTTCAAAAATACTTGCCAAATGAGATTTTTTTTCAATGAGAAAAATGTGTATCTCTTTTCTGAGTTCATAAACCCTGCTTAGTATTTTGCCATGAGATAACCACCGATCTTTGGTATGATACAGTAAGTGGGTATGACTCGTTCCAATCTCCGAGCAGAATGTTTCAAGTAGTTGGCTATTCAGTGAGCTTCCTTTAATAAAATTAACAACTTTCACTGCATTTTTCAATACTTCCATGAGCTTTGGTGGAATCTCTCTGGACACTAAAGCTTCACGATGTATAAAGCAATGATTCCACATAGCACCACTGTTAGTGACTTCGAGCAACTTCTTAATTACTCGGCTCTGTTTTCCAGTTATGCTTGCCGTGCCATCACTTGTTATTCCTCTGCAGTTTTTCCAGCTTAGCTTATACTGGCCCACAACGTATTTTTCTAATTCCACAAAAATGTCCAATCCACTTAGGTGTGAGGTCAAATTTAAACAACACAAAAAATCCTCCATAAAATCATCTTGCCATGCGTATCTGACATAAACTAAAAGTGTTAAGCAGCTTCCAACATCAGTGCTTTCATCAAGCTGGATGGCAAAGTCTATACCAGACTGCAACCGAGTGATAAGCATTGTTTCCAAATGTTCAGCAATAGTACAAATTCGGAGAGATACTGTGCTATCACTAGGTATGGTTTTTAATTTATCAGCCGATTTATCATCAAAGATTGTGCGTACCATATCCAAACATGCTGGAAGAATGATCTTTTCAGTAGTGGTGTGAGCTATTTTCTCTTTTGCCACACGGTACGCCACTAAATATGATGATAATAAGGCATTCTCACTAACAGCAGGCGAACAGCTAACAAACTGTGTTACTAACTTTATGTCTTTCTTCTTTCTTTGAAAATATTCAAGAGGCTTATCAATAAGTTCAGCATGCTGGGTTTCTAAGTGCCTTTTCAATTTTGAAGGTTTTAAGCTTTCATTTGCAAGAACATTATTACAAATAAGACACTGAGGTCTGTCATTTTCAAAGGGTTTCTCACATTTGATAAAACCATATTTTAAATAATCTTCATTATAACGTCTTATGTTTTCCTTTTTCTTCTTGAAATGTGGCTCAAATGAAGTCGACATTTGCATATTAGAGCCAATATTTTTCTCACTATTTTCATCAGGCACACTTCCAGATCCAACGGTTGCACATGAACATGCTTCTGCATATTTCACTTCATTATTCCTCTTTTTTTTATTAAAGAAAGGATCCATTTTAAAGGTAATCTGTACCAGCTTATTAGAATGCAATGAAGTAAGGTTTTATAATTGCCATTGACTCAAAAGTACATATAACCTAGATAACATCTTTTTTTAAAAAATGCAGTTTGTAACCAAATCACAGTTGAATACCTCAGACTTCACATTTAGTTGCAAATGTGAAATAAAACTAGACTGCACCTCATCCTTGTTATAATAAAAACCAGACTCCAGTGATCAAATCACTGAACGTTTTGTAATCAATACATATTCGAAATTCCCTCCATCAATTATATTTCTCACGTAATAAAATTGACCTTAGCATTCCTTGCAATATGCAAGATTCTGGCAAAAGACTGGCATAAAATACTCTGATGTTTTATAGTTTACTCTTTTAAAAGAACGTTCATTGTGACTCACAGATTTTATTTCCTGTCCCATTAATAGGTGAGACACATGTAAAAACACTGCTATAAAGGTATTTTCCTCAGCTGGGTTAGCACCTTGATGATCAAAGAAAAAAGCTGATCTGTTAGACTGTTTGCTCACACCAAAACTTCTTAAAGTGGTAGGAATGTATCTTAGATTTTCATCCCTAATACTTTTTGATGGTCAGAGGTCTTAAAAGTGTCAGTTACTGTTTCATCTATTGAAGATCCAATGAATTTTTCCAAGGCTAAGTCAACTAAAGATTAGATTGATGAAAGAGTTTTAAAAATTTCTTGGAATTCATTCTTGACCTGGGAATAAGACCAGAGACAGAATATTAAAGCTTTATAGTATAGAGCAATATTACTGCAGGTAATTGGGATCTTTATGATATTCAAGATCATGGGTACAGAAGTCTGTAGCTCTTCTCATCAATGTTACTCGGGTCTTTCTCCACCAAAACCAGTAAATTGTAATTGCCAGAAGTCAGCCACAGAAGCTGCAGAGTAATAAAGGTGAATACAGCAAGTCAGGATAGATGGTTCACTTATCACATATACCTCCTCTTGGCTCACTTTGGGCCTTGCCCATCTGGGATTTAATTACTGCACTACTCCTTGATATTAGCTGGATCTTATCAGCGTAATGTGAAACACTTCCTTATGTCCTTTCTATAAAGTCATTTCACTTTGGAAGAAAGGGCAAAAGTCTTTAATGTTAATTAGAAATTCAATACATCTGACAGTGCTAATGATTCTGTTAGGAAAGCTTATTTTAAATATTTTCTTGCAGTTGAAGCACTGTCCAGGGAAAAACTGTCCCTCCCAAGGCCAGCTTATTTCTAGAGAGCTTATAGTTACACAGGATCACAAGTTTTAGAAGCAAATCAATAGGTTCAGAGCCTGCCCTATCCACTATCAGACCCTCTCTATGAGGCTCGTAACTCCACCACTATTCTCCTGCCTTATTCTCCAAGGGGTCACATATCAGGCAATTTAAAGGTGGCGAAGTTATCCACACCAGTCAATCTTAACTATGCTTAGCCTGCTTACCCTGACGCATAATTTCTTTCCCAGGAAAACTATGATTCCCATTCCACACCTATACATATAAAACATACATATATATAAAACAATATATAGTATACACATATAACAGTATAATAATATATATTGTTGTTGTTTCGGCGACATCCTTGGAAGTACTCAAAAGTGACTCTCTGCTGTCAGGTGATCATGTGGTACCTAGGATCAAACCCAAGCAACCTGTATGCCAAACATGCATTCAGCCATTTGAACTGTCTGGCTTGCCTCTACTTCTGACTCACCTCCTCCCAACCTGCATGGCAGGGAAGGTTTTACCCCGTTTCTCAGGATCTGTCTCGGAATATCAAAGTGTTTTCCTAGTCCAATAACCATTTAATTATTTAGGATCTGTTATTGAAGCAGGTTTGGGAGGTGTCTGAAAAAATTTGAAATAATGGTGGTGGAAAGATGGAATAATAAATGTAATAAATAAATAAATGTAAATGGTGGTTGCCTTGGTGTTGGAATAATAAATATAATAAATCATCGTGAACAACTTTAAAAAAGAAAAGAAACTCAGACCAGAAGCAAGTATATGACTCTTTTTTTGGGAGGTGGGGTCATACCTGGTGAAATACAAGGTTTACTTTTTGTTCTGCATTCAGGGATCACTGCTGGTGGTCTTGGGGGACCAGAATAAAGTGCCAAGGAGAGGACCCAGGTCAGCTGCGCGCAAAGATGAAGGCCTTTTCCACTGTACTCTCTCTCCAGCCCCTATACCATATGGTTCTATAATCCGGAGGGGTTCTGCTGGAAAGGGCCCTTCTGGCCCAAACTTTGAAGATGCGCACTGAGGTCAAATGCTGTGGCTATAAGGCCACATCTCAGAACAATAATGCTTCTTAATTAACTGTACACTTAACCTAGCCATCCAATAGGAAAGAATTTTAATTAAGGTATCTACATACTTGTGGTTGAAAGGTGCTCATATGCTGTCATTAATGCAATAATATAAAATGGTTTAGGTTTTAATCTTCTGGTAATGAATCTCTTTGTAGAGTGCTTTCAGATGGCATGTACTCAATAGATTTGAAAAAAAAAAACAAATGAAAATTAATGACACTTTCACACACTGTATTTGCACCACTTTTCACACGTGAGACAAAAACCAATTAAACACATTCTTTAAATAGGATCAACAGTAGCTGGGGATACAGTGGTACCATACATGCTCTGCATGAATGAGGCCCTGAGTTCAATTCTCAGCACCCCTACCCCCTCCCAAATAGATCATTAAAGGTCTCCTACTTCAAGATAAATTGCTCAAGTAATATCCAAGGCCAGGGAAAACAAGGCTAGGAGGACTGGTCAGTGGTTGGAATCTACCACAAGTGTGTGTGACGTGAAGGTTAGGTAAGATAGAGAAGGGACCAGTATGACAAGAATAGTTGAAAATGATCATACTGTGGGGCTGGAGCAATAGCACAGCGCGTAGGGCGTTTGCCTTGCATGTGGCTGACCCAGGTTCGATTCCCGGCATCCCATATGGTCCCCTGAGCACCGCTAGGGGTAATTTCTGAGTGCACCGCTAGAGGTAATTTCTGAGCCAGGAGGAACCCCTGTGCATCACCAGGCATGATGCAAAAAGCAAAAAATAAATAAATAAAAAAGCTTAATGAATTTAATGAATAAAATAATGCCCATATAAATGGCAAGAGATGTATGAGACTTTTAAGAAGTTAGAGGCAGAGGCCCTGGCCCTCGTGTGGACCTGGAAGAGAAGTCTTCAAGTCTACAGGAACTGTGACGGCAGGGGAATGTCTGGCTCAGGAGTTAGGAGTAAATGGCAGTTCTTGGCTCCAGATAAACTGCAGCCTCGGGGCTACCTACCTTGCTCCCACAGACCAGGTTGCATCACCCTGTGGAGCTGGCAGCACCACTGGGCCAAAATCAATTCACACTCTGCCGAAAGGACACACAAGGAGAGTGGCCCGCTGACGACATGGTCCAAAGTCCTAGTCCCCAGCCTGCAGCTTTCCTGGAGGGACAAACCAACCTGACAGAATAATGAGGCCAAGGATCAGCGTGGCTCCCCCACACCAGTGGGCATCTCCACCTCGCCTACCCCAGGGAGCCTGGGAGGTCCTGGCCACAGTAGAGAGGAGGAAAACTGAACTTCTACTTGAAAGAGGAGCCACCTACTTGGCCTGCAAGGCCCCTGCCCACCACTTGCTGCAGTGATAAGAAGCCAGTCTAAGGTCCGGCACCTTTCCTTTCCCCTTACCGTGAGGGAGGCTTCAAGAGCTTCACCCACTCCTTTTCATACATACCTGTGTGGGAGGGGTCCCAGCCATCTCCTTAGAAAAGCATAAAGTGCAAGCAGTGACAACCAACAACACTAGACCCACCTCTGCAGACACAGGAGAGAGAGAGCACACGGAATGCACGACTCTTCCTGACCTGGTCCAAAATCAGAGACTCTCCAGTCTCAGACACAGCAAGGAATATCTCACCTGTAAAGACCTGAAGCCTGGGTTAATTTCGCACGGAGGAGATTTGCTCTCTGAAACCCCACGCCTTGAGAGGAATCAGGTCACAGCCGCCAAAGGCTGTGAAATGTGGGCTTTGGAAATGATTGGCCGTGTGTCTCCCCATACAGAAACCCACTGCAAACAGTGGGCGGTGGTGGTTCTCCGGGCAGCGCCTGACCCGCACGTGCAGAGGTGGTCACTGTTTCGCTATTCCTGACCAGAGGTACCTTTTTCTGTACCCTCACCCAGCCTCTCAAGGCTCTTTGCTTTTCAGTGGGGAAAAAATTCATCTATTGACTGCCTCAGACTCAGCAAGATTCAAGTGCTGAAACTGTAAAAACTCTATCCAAGGGCCAGAGAGAGTCCAGGAGAAAAGGGACTTGCAGTGCATGTGCTGACCTCAGCTAGATGCTCAGACCGCATCTGATTCCCAGAGCACTGCCAGGAGTCACTCCAGAGGATAGAGCCAGGACTAACTCCTGAGTACTTCTGGGTGTGGTCCCCAAACCCAAATAAATAAAAAATAAAACCCCAGAATTGCTGGACCGTAGCCCTAGAAGTACCCCAGTTACCTTAAAGTTGTAGCCCAGTGGCCTCCCTATACTAAACCATCTAGCCCAGTTGGCTAAGTATCTCCAGGGCTGACTGCCAGGTCAGCTGAGTGCCACTTGAGAGGCCCTCCCCCACAAAACTCTAAACTTCTGGTAGGATAAAGTGCTAAGGTTTCCCAATAAATAAATCCCCCAATAAACCCAAATGTTCATGTGGAAGACGCCACATCTGGAATTTGTCCTAACGCCTGAGGCATGTCCTAACTCCTGAGGGCTGGAGCGATAGCACAGCGGGTAGGGCGTTCGCCTTACAAGCGGCCAACACGGCCGACCCGAGTTCGATTCCTCCGCCCCTCTCGGAGAGCCCGGCAAGCTACCGAGAGTATTCGATATGCCAGACACAGTAACAACAAAGTCTCCAATGGAGACGTTACTGGGCCCGCTCGAGCAAATCGACGATCAATGGGAGGGCCCTGAGGCATGGATCCTGGCTGCTAGTGCCAGCAAACTAGGTGACAACTGAGGGGCTCTAGGGGCACAGGCAAAATATCTAAATGTGTACATGGGATTCTTGGAGGGAAAAGCCAGAATTGGAAGGAACAGGATGCCTTTGACAGGAAAAAACCCAAATTCAGTGAGGCTAGGGCCCTGGGGCCTCCCAGCCGACTTCAAAGCATGTGGAAGTCTGGGAATAACTCAAGAGGAGAGAACCAAAACTCAAGGCGAACCCTGTAACCAGTTGTACTTTTCTGCTTGGACTTGATGGCTCGGGGTTGGGAACATGCCCGCTGCTGCCAAGACCTCTGGTGGCAGAGACTTCCAGGGAGACTCTAGGGCAGTACAGAGAGATGCTGCAAGCCTCCTGGATGCCAGGAGACAGCCGCTGACTGAGCATACACCTCATCTCGTTTGGGGTTAACTTCCAAGGCCCCTGATTTGCCATTCTGTTACCGCTAGTCTGTAGCCTTTGCTTTTATGCCTTCCGATGAAGTGCCTCTCCTCCAGTGGAAGGGACTGCTCTCCACTAGCTGTCAGCACCCTGAGCAACTTTCCCAGGGTGCCACTGGGACTCTGCACACCTGCACCTGGAGAACCTCAGATGCTAGTGTGCGCCTGAGGGATGGGTATTCCTGTGAAGCACAGCTCACAGCTCACTCCCACTTCTGGTCTTGCAGAACTGATCATATCTGCAGAAAATGACTTAGTCTTGCACGGATAATGTGTATTTGCTGTGGCAATGCTGGAAATGAGGTGTCTTAGACCACAGTTATACGCAGCCTAGCAGTGCCATCCCTCTAAGATGGCAGAATAGTGCTGGGAAAGCAGAACCTGCACAGGCCTGCCAGCTCCCTTATTCTCAGCACACTGGGTCACACAGTTGATCTAGGATCAACTCAACGTGTCCCTTGCAAATATAGTCTCAGACAACAAGGAGAGCTCCTGACCCTCTGGAGCTGTGTAGGGCCGGGTCTGCAGGAAGCAACTGGGTAACAGCACTGGCCAAGGTAAGGTCAATAACCCAGAGAGCTATGAACAGTGGCTGGTTCTGCCAAGTTGGGAAGAGTTAACAGTCACTGATGACCAGACGGCAACCAGAGCCACCCTCCCCAGTTTCCCCTGGTTCCATCCCTTTTGAGGTCCTGAGGGTCTGAAAAATCTTACAGCTGATTTTTCACACATCTCATGAACCAAACTTGCTGGTTTCAGGTACAGTCAGTGCTAATTTAAGCGGCTCAGTCCTCACACCTCTCAGGGCTCCAGCTTTCACCAAATTTTAAATTAATCGGGTTGAGAGAGGGTTCCGATTCCCTTCCACCATCAATCCCGAACAGTTACAGAAGAGGCTCCCAGGGCTTTTTCCCTTCCAGAACTCCTATATTCCAAGGAGTCAAAGAATTGGGAACTACGGTCCCTTCCGAAAGGGGTCTGCGCTGCTGGCCAGGAAACGACACAGGCCAGAAAGAAAACTCTCCAACCAATAGGTCTCAAAGCCACCGCGAGCGGGAGCTGCTGCGTGTGGCACCTGTCTGGAACTTTCTTCCGCCCTGACGTGGTCGGCTTCCTTCCAGGCTCCCTTCAGGTTGGAACTGCCCCCCTGCCCCCGAGCTTCATTAGCACGAAATCCCCACCCAGGAGCTGGCCAGACATTTCTAAACACGGACGGACCAAGGGCAAGAAGCACATGCGCAGGCGCAGGGATGAGCCTGGCCCCGTGTACTGACACCCCCCACTCTCCTTCCGCCTAGAAAAGTCTAGACGTTTTCATGGGGGAGTCGGCGTGAGGCTTGTCCCTCTGCTGTCCCCCCTTGGCGGAGTAAAAGCCCTTTCCAAGGAATGGCCTGGTGCACGCGTGTGTGCTGTTCTGGGGCCCAGAGCCCGCGGTGCTCAGGGGCTACGAGCTCCTTTGACGCCAAGGGCAGCTCCGTGGACCCGCGCTGGGGCCCCCCCCCCGAGCTGTCCCTTGTCCCGTCCTTGTGCCACACCGCCTCCAGCTGAAGACGCCTCCGGGTCTCGCATCTCTGACAGGCAAAGAAGCGACGTTCCCGGCTTTAAGCCGTTCTCCACCCCTCCGCCTCACGCTTAGGATGGGACCGTGTCAAGGGCACTAGGGACACAAAGCAAAAAAAACGATGACAATAATCGATGGAGGGACAGCGACGCGTTCACGGGCGAACCCTGCGCTCCAGTCCCGCGCGCCCGGGCCGGGCACACGCCCCTTCCGGCAAAGCGCAAACGGCGGCCCGCGGCGAGGGGGGGGTGCCGGGCGCCGTGTCCGGGGCGGGGCGGCGCGGGGCGGGGGCGGCGCGGGCTGGTGCCGCGGGCCGAGGGCTCGGTCCTTCGTCCCACCGGCATCTCCGGGCCGGGCGCGCCCTCCCCGCTGCCTGCGACCCCGCTGCCGTTTTCGCTCCCGGGCAGCGACAGCCAGACAGGCCGTTCCTGGGGGGCCCACGGGTCCGAGTCTCGGCGCCTTTGTTTCCTCGGCTGTCGGGACGCACGCGGGCGACGAGGGGCGCGCAGGGCCGGGCCTGGCGGGGAGCCCCGGGCGGACGCTCGGCGGGACCCCGCGGCCACTGCGGCCGGCGACGCGGCACCCCGCCCCGCCCCCTCGGACCCCGCCGGCCTCCCGGGCGCGCCCACCCGCGCCCCGCCCCGGCAGGAGCGGCAGGTGCTCCGGCCCCGCCCCGCCCGGCCCCCAGGGCCCCCCCGACCCGAGCCCCCCGCCCCCCGCCCCCCGCCCACACTCACCTGCCGCCCGGCGCCGCGGCGCCCCCCTCGGCCCTCGGGCGGCGACTCGGCCCCGCCCCCTCCCGCCCCGCTTCCGGCTGCCCCGCGCCCCGCCCGCCCCCGACCTCCGTCCGGCGCCGCAGCCCGACGCGCGCCGGGGCCCGCGCATGCGCGCAGCCGGCTCTCTCGGCGGTCTCGCGGGGTTTCCTGGGCCCGCGGGGCTTTTTGAACGCGGCTGGCGCTCGGAAGGGCGCGGCGGGGCTGGGCGGGGAGGTGTCCCCGCGGCGACTGACCTCTGACCTCCGCAGTGCCGGGCGGGTTTGTGGACGCCGCGGTGGGGGGCGGGGTGCCACGTTCGCTTCCGCCCACGTTTGCGTTTCCGCTTTGATGTCTTGCTTGGAAACTCGCCCCGACCTCCAGAATAGAACGTGGTCGTTTTCGTAGGACTTGACTTGAAAGCCACGCTCTTGGCATATGCAATGTCCAAACCATGACGAGTCTCACAGTGGAGCCGCTCTTGGTGCCCGCTGGAGCAAATCGACGAGTAACGGGAGGACTCTGCAGCGCAGTGCTACGGCCATGCTTTTAATACACCCAGAACACGTAAAATACGCGTTATTTAACAACATGGCCGAGGACACGGGGCTCAAACCCTGCTGCAGTGCTCAGGAGTGCACTGGCGATTCTAGGGTGACGAGAGCGGGGCCCACATTCCACGGTAAAGTTTCAGAGGACTCTGGTGCCAAGGATCCAACGTGGCCAGTTGCATTCAAGGCACGTGTCTCATCCTCCCTGTGCTCTCTCTCTGGCCCCTACAAATTATTTTAAATGTGGGCCTAAGTGATGGTATAGCAGTTAGTATGCTTGCCTTGAATTTTTTTTTCTCTTTGGATCACACCTAGCGATGATGAAGAGTCATTCCTGACTCTGCACTCAAGAATTACTCCTGGTGGTGCTCAGGGGGCCATATGGGAAGCTGGGAATTGAATCTGGGTCAGCCGCGTGCAAGGCAAATGCCCTCCTCGCTGTGCTATAGCTCCAGCCCGCCTTGAATTATTGAGCACAGAGCTAGAAGTAACCCCTGGGCATCGCTGGGTATGGCCAAGACAAAACAAAATTATTTTAAGTAATATTTGGAGTTTATAACATTCCATCTCATATCCATGTTTATATTTTTCTAATTTTCTCTAAAATTCTTTTTATGCTTGTTACGTTGTATTAGAATGTAGGGGCTGGAGCAAATGTAGCACAGCAGGTAGGGCGTTTGCCTTGCACGTGGCCAACCCGGGTTGGATCCCCAGCATCCCATATGGTCCCCTGAGCTACCGCCGGGAGCGATTCCTAAGTGCGGAGCCAGGAGTAACCCCTGTGCATCACCAGGTGTGACCCAAAAAGTCAAAAAAGAAAAAAAGAATGTAAACTATGTTCCCACATTTCCCTTGATTGTATTTCCTATGTCTTTTCATCTACAACAGCTTATAGCCTCTCGTCTGTGTTTTTTCCTTGACAGTATTTGTGTAGATTGAGTCACTGGGTTGAATTTCCCATATTCTGAATTTGGCTCATTTCATCCTCTTTATATCACTCATGTGTAATTCCTATAAATTGAGGATTACGTTTAGATGATTGCCTACTTTGAAGTTCAGCTTTTTTGTTGCTTAGAGAGAGGGCAAAAACACCTCTGGTGGTGAGTCTTAAAAATTCAGTTGCATTTATATCAGGAGGTCAAACAAAAGCCTCCAAAATAACAGTTTTGGAAAAATATGCTAATATATACTATTTAAAGATTGCAAAAAATGTTATCATCTCTACAGACTATGTTCCTCTATAGTTTTATCTCCTCTCACACACAATGTCACACTGTCCTCCCGTTGTTCATCGATTTGCTTGAGCGGGCCCAGTAATGTCTCCATTTTATTTTATTTTTCTGAAACTTATTGTTGGGCTGGAGCGATAGCACAGCGGTAGGGTGTTTGCCTTAAACACAGCCAACATGGCCGACCCGAGTTCGATTCCTCCGCCCCTCTCAGAGAGCCCGGCAAGCTCCCCGTGATGTATTCGATATGCCAAACACAGTAACAACAAAGTCTCCAATGGAGACGTTACTGGGCCCGCTCGAGAAAATCGATGAACAACGGGAGGACAATGATGATGTATGTGATGAGACTTGTTGTTACTGTGTTTGGCATATTGAATACATCATGGGTAGCTTGCCAGGCTAATCTGCCTATTTTCATACAGGGAAAACTAAGATCTAGACAGTTAAATATTTGGCAAAGATCAAATAGCTACTTTTAGTGGTAAAAGTAGGTAGGGATCCTTTCTACCACCACTCCTTTAAAAGATTGGGGTTGTATGCCACCATGCCTGCCCGGAGGGAAAAGGATGTTGCTTCCTTCTGCCTTTTTCCCTCTGGACACCAAGATGGTGGCCGCCTTGGAGCTTTTTGGAAAGCCAGGAATGAGCTGGTCGTGACAGGGGCGACTGAAACCTCATGGGAAGGGGGGCATTCTGGGCTCGTCCTTCATGCCCTACCGAGGTCACGAGTTGCCCCCCACGAGCGGCTCTCTGGCATGGCCATGGCTCTAGAGCCACAGAAACCAGTCTCATAATTATCTGACTCTCGGCAGAAATACTTCCAGGCTTAATAAGTAAAATATCAGAAATCCAAAATTGCGCGGCCGCAATAGTGGCCGCATATCATCATTTGATTCTTGTAACCAGCTATAGAAAGAAATTATTTCAGAATGTCTTTTCAACAGGTATGATTTGGGGGTGTCACGGTCACGGTCCTCCCATTGTTCATCGATTTGTTCAAGCGGGCCCAGTAACGTCTCCATCATGAGACTTGTTACTGTGTTTGGCATATCATATACATCACGGGTAGCTTGCCAGGCTCTGCCGTGCGGGTGAGATACTCTCGGTAGCTTGCCGGGCTCTCCGAGAGGGGCAGAGGAATCGAACTCGGGTTGGCTGTGTTGGCCATTTGTAAGGCAAACACCCTACCGCTGTGCTGTCGCTCTAGCCAGATTTGGGGATGTAAACTCCACATAATAATAATGCACCTTTTGTCAAAACAATGAATCTAATCAAAGTAGATAGAGTGTTAACTAGAATTCATCTGCCTCACAGGCATTGGGAGGGTTGGGAGGGAGGTATATTGGGGTTCTTCTTGGTGAAAAATAAGTACTGGTGAAGGGAAATATGTGTGATGATTGCATGACCGAGACTTAAACCTGAAAGCTTTGTAACTTTTCCCACAGTGATTCAATAAATTAATAAATTAAAAAAAAAAGATTGTGGTTGTAAGGGGCTGAAGCAATAGTACAGCGGGTAGGGCATTTGCCTTGCAAGCTGCCAACCAAGGTTCAATCCCCAGCATCCCATATGGTCCCCCGAGCACCACCAGGAATAATTCCTGAGTGCAGAGCCAGGAGTAACCCCTGAGCATCGCTGGGTGTGACCCAAAATGCAAAAATGAATAAATTAATAAATTTTTTAAAAAAGATTGTGTTTGTATTCGTTGGTTGTGTTCACTGTGTTCTGCATTAGACAGAAGTCAGAGGTGTTGCAATGACATTTGTCTCTCCAGCTAGAGTTTCTGTGACTGAGAAGGTAAGCGATAGCAAATTTTCAGCTACCTTGAACGGTTCTATTTTTTTGCACTGCTGGGGTGCTCCCTGAAAACGTCTTAAACATTAAAGAAGTACTATTGAAGGGCTGGAATGATAGCACAGTGGAGAGGGTGTTTGCCTTGCACACAGCCAACCTGGTCTCAATCCCCGGAATCCCATGTGGTACCCTGAGCACCGCCAGGAGTCATTCCTGAATGCAGAGCCAGGAGTAACCTCTGAGCATGACTGGGTGACCCAAAAAGCTAAAAAAAAATAAAAATAAAAAGTACTATTGATAGGACTTTGACCTTGGACCTGCTCTCTTGAGGATAAGGATATAAGAAAATCTTTAGAGGCAACAGTAGTCATTGGTTATTTGATACTAAATCCTTTGCCTCATTTCTTTTCATCCTGCAAGCTTTGTTTTCCATTTTAGTTTGGGCTTAATTGTCTTATAAATATTAGCTGTAAATTATCACAAATTTGAACAAAAGGAATTACATAGCAAATATGGGAAGTACAAATTAGAGGGGAATTACATTTCTGTGTGACTTACATGTGCCCGGAGCCGGAGGTTCTTCGTCCTCTTAGCTATTTACATATGACTTACATATCTGAACTGGTGGTTCTGAAATCAGTCATGTGAAAAAAATCTGCAGTCCTGGTTCTGCTTTATCTGTCTGATGTGTAAAAATGGTCTGTGGTGGTGCTTTACACCTGTCATCCTCAGTGGCTCTCAAGAATAGCAGGCATTCACAAAAAGTGGTTGTAGGTGTCTGTGACCAATTTATCATTAAACTATTACTGGTCACTCTCTAACAATAAAAGTGGGTAAACTCAAAGAAAGCAAATAAAACTTTTTTTTTGTTTTTGGGTCACACCTGGCGATGCACAGGGGTTACTCCTGGCTTTGCACTCAGGAGTTACCTCTGGCGGTGCTCCGGGGACCATATGGGATGCTGGGAATCGAACCCGGGTCGGCCGCATGCAACGCAAACGCCCTACCCGCTGTGCTATCTCTCCAGCCCCAAAAGCAAATAAAACATTTAAAAATTTTTTCTTTTTTTGTTTATTCGGGGGCTGTACCTGTTGACGCTCAGGAGCTAGTCCTGCTCTGTGCTCAGGACTGAGCGAAGATTGGTTGCTCGCAAAGCAAGCACCTTATTCCTGTGCTGTCTCTCTGCCTGAGGAAATAACGTTTCACAAAACAATACTTTGCTTTTTAAGGAAATAGGCTTTGGTGGAGATTTTGTTTCATTTTTGGTTTGGGTCACACCTGGTGAAGCTCAGGGTTTAATCTTGGGTCTGCATTCAGTAATCACTGTTTGCAGTGCAGGAGAACATATGAAATACCGGGGACAAACCCAGGTAGGCTCATGCAAAGAAAGCACGCTACCCTCTGTACTGTCTCTCCAATCCTGGAAAAACTATTGATAACAA